GTAGGGGGAAACGAGGAGGAGTGAGGGGCACGGCGAAGCCGACCCTCGACACAAGGCGTGCAAGGTGGGCTGGAGAGGAGGGAAACGCGGGAGCGAACCTGGGAGACCAAGGACGAGACCGTGCTGAGACATGTGACGCAGACGCGGGAGCGCAGGGTGACCTAGGCGGTGGTGCCACAGGAGGGTCGGGTGAGTGAGGGAGCGACAGGAGCAGGCAGCAGCAACCTGGGTAGACACAGCCACCTGAGGGGGCGCTCCAGCCGGGGGGGTCACGGTGTCCAGAGTGAACAGGCGGACACCGGGTCCCGGGGGAACGTGGACAGGGGGGCACCAGTGGCGGCCTCGGTACAGACAGCATACCGCTCGTGACCAGGGAACGTAGTGGTGAGCCAAGGTCCTGGAGGCAGCCGACACCAACTAGGTTCCTGGAGAACGAGGGGATATGCAGACCTGTAAGAGAGCCCGAAGGAACCGCCGGACAGGAAGGGTGGTGGAACTGCGGGCGACTACCGGACCGCCGGAGGGGTCAGCAAGAGAAACGGCAGCAGGAACAGGAAGCGGCGTCAGGGTGGTGGAGTCGCGGGAAGAAACACCGAGAGGCGCAGAGTCCAAGGTGAAGGAAAGCGAAGCCGAGGGGTCTGGCGACGGAACGACGGCGGAAGCACCAAGACTACACAAAGCAGGGGATCCTACGCCTGACGCAGCAGGGGAGGCTAAGCTAGGCACACCTACACTAGGCAACAGTGAGTAATAAGCGGGAAGCACACTAGAGTCATCAGCATGCATCACATGCAGAGCAGAAACAATGGCATCCATGTCCATATCAAAAATCTGAATCTGACGACTAAGCAAACTGTGCCAGTCCGGGAGGTCTGGCGACGGGCCGAAGCGCTGACGAAAGAGGTCGTCCAGGCGACGAAAACAGCGGGGAGTGGAGTGACGATCTTACCGCAAACGAAGCCGGGCGAGGACCGGTCTGGATCTGGTACTGACAACGCCCGCCGCAGAGCCACCACGCGGCACACCACCACGCGCCCGGCCACCGCCAGCGCCGGGCCACCCTGGCGGGAGACACTCGTCTGCCGCGTCTGCGACGGCTGCTGCGGCTGCTGCGAAGGCTGCGACTGCGGCGGCTGCTGCGGCTGCTGCACCTGCAGGGGCGGCGACTCAGCTGAACTGGGCAGGGTCCCCTCGCCCACTCCAGCACCAGGCGACTCGACCCCACCACTACCCCGCCGCACCCCGCCGCCCTCCTCCGCCGCGCCCAGCCTTGGGGCGGCGGCCCTTCCCCGAAGGACCTGCGCTGCAGCAGCAGTCTCAGCCACTGGGCAGAGCCGTCGGAGAAGGTGCACTGAGCAGGGGCACAACCCTGAAAGATAGGGACCGGCACGACACCGCTCGCCTGGGCAATGGAGCGGTGACGGGTCTCTATGACAGTCAGGGTGTCTACAAAGTCAGTGAGGGTGAGGTCTGCGGGGTGAACGCTAAGAAAGCGGTCGCGGGCGACAGCAAGGCGGTCAGGGAGGCGGGTGGCAAGCAGGTAGAGGGTAGAGGTAATGGGCGGCTGGTGGGCTCTAAGCTGGGCGTCAGTGCAGGCAGCGCGCCAGGTCTCAACTATCGAGCGCAGGTGGGGCAGCGAGGTCAGAGACAGTGGGGGAAGATGCAAGGTCAGGAAAGAGCATCGGAAGGATCAGGCGACCCACCGAGGCAGCCGGAGGGGTGGAATAGCGCTGGATGACAGCATCTAAGTATGCCTGAGCAGTAGTGAGGGACCTAAAGCGAGGACGCTTGGATGGGGGAAGGGCGTTGCTAATGGCAAGCTGGGCAACAGCATCGCGAGAAAGCCAGACAGAGCGCCGCCACGGGCAGTGGCAGCAGTAGCCTCACGCTCAGTGGGTGTGGGGTCAGCGGGCAGAATAGCAGGGGGTCTGGGCAGGGGAGCGTACCGTCAAGGTGTGCGGAAAGCAGTTCACCATCCTGCCGCTGGCCAGTGAGTTGACGGCGGAGGTCGGCAAGCCACGCCTCGAACTCTAGGGGCTGACCTTCAGCGTCGAAGCGAAGCTCCGCCGCCATCATGGAACAGTCCAGTGCAGTGCAGGGCAGTGCAGTGCGGTGCAGTGCGGTGCAGTGCGGTGCAGTGCGGTGCAGTGCGGTACAGTGCGGTGCAGTGCGGTGCACTGCGGTACAGTGCGGTGCAGTGCGATGCCAGGCAGTACAGTGTGGTGGGGGCGGCACGGAGCAGGGCGGGGTGGGGGGAACCGTACCAGTGAGGAGGACGGGGCCGGGGCTGGCCCGACGGGGCCGGGCGGGCGCGACGGGGCCGGGCTGGTGCGACAGGGCCGGGACGGGCGACGGGGCCGAGCGGGCGCGACGGGGCCGGGCTGGGGCGACGGGGCCGGGCGAGTGCGGCAGGGCCGGGCCGGTGCGACGGGGCCGGGCGGCTGCGACGGGGCCGGGCAGGGTGGGACGGGGCCGGGCGGGGGCGACGGGGCCGGACGGCTGCGACGGGCCAGGCAAGGGCGACGGGGCCAGGCGGCTGCGACGGGGCCGGGCGGGCGCGACGGGGCCAGGCGGCTGCGATGGGGCCGGGCGGGCGCGACGGCGCCGGGCGGGCACGACAGGGCCGGGCGGCTGGCGGCGCCGGCGGGGCGCGACGGGCCTGGCGGCTGCGACGGGGTCGGTCAGGGTGCGACGGGGCTCAGGAGGGGCGCGACTGAGCCCAGGAGGGGCGCTACGGGGCCTGGGCGGAGCGCGACGAGGCCCAGGAGGGGCGCTAGGGGCCTGGGAGGAGCGCGACGGGGCCTGGGAGGGGTGCGACGGGGCCTGGGAGGGGCGTTAGAGGGCCCAGGAGGGGCGTACGAAGCCCAAGAGGGGCGCGACGAGGCCCAGGAGGGGCGCTACGGGGCCCAGGAGGGGCGCGACGGGGCGCTACGGGGCCTGGGAGGAGCGCGACGGGGCCCAGGAGGGGCGCTAGGGGGCCTGGGAGGAGCGCGACGGGGCCTGGGAGGGGCGCGACGGGGCCTGTGAGGGGGGTTACAGGGCCCAGGAGGGGCGCTACGAAGCCCAGGAGGGGCGCGACGAGGCCCAGGAGGGGCGCTACGGGGCCCAGGAGGGGCGCGACAGGGCGCTATGGGGCCTGGGAGGAGCGCGACGGGGCCCAGGAGGGGCGCTAGGGGGCCTGGGAGGAGCGCGACGGGGCCTGGGAGGGGCGCGACGGGGCCTGTGAGGGGCGTTACAGGGCCAGGAGGGGCGCTACGAAGCCCAGGAGGGGCGCGACGAGGCCCAGGAGGGGCGCTACGGGGCCAGGAGGGGCGCGACGGGGCGCTACGGGGCCTGGGAGGAGCGCGACGGGGCCCAGGAGGGGCGCTAGGGGGCCTGGGAGGAGCGCGACGGGGCCTGGGAGGGGCGCGACGGGGCCTGGGAGGGGCGTTAGAGGGCCCAGGAGGGGCGCCTACGAAGCCCAGGAGGGGCGCGACGAGGCCAGGAGGGGCGCTACGGGGCCCAGGAGGGGCGCGACGGGGCGCTATGGGGCCTGGGAGGAGCGCGACGGGGCCCAGGAGGGGCGCTAGGGGGCCTGGAGGAGGCGACGGGGCCTGGGAGGGGGCGCTAGGGGCCCTGGGAGGAGGGCAACGGGGCCTGGGGAGGGGCGCTAGGGGCATGAGCGGAAGCGGTAGGTGGGGGGGATCCTACTTACGCGTGATACCATATCAGAATTGGAATTGAATTAATGGTAAAGAGAGAGTACACAAAATATACCTAAGTGTTGTACCCTCTAAGAGGTAACCCTATACAGTCTATACAAACATAACAAATACAGATGTTTGACACTTAGAACTAAATAATACTAGCCTCTTAAACTTAGGACGCTAACTTAGCTAGAATGCAAGGAATGCCGCCATGGAATGGTGTGAGGAAAATAGATCTAGGAGCGGGAGAGAGAATGTCGAGGAAAGAAGAGCATCGATTAGGAAGAGAGAGGAGTACGAAAAGGGGATTGTACCCTATAGAGAAAGGTTCAGTAACAACTATCAAGACTATCAATTATATATAGCTTATATAATCTTGACTGTAGGATGGATGTGCTAATTCCTAATGATTCATGAAGTGCGAAGGCAATTTCTAGTGATAGTAAGTAGGGTGTTTTGAAATGTACTAGTGTAGTCTAAGAAAAATGTCCCCTGCTATTTCATACTTGGAAAAAGGTTTACCCTAGCATGCTGGGTAATTATTTTCAATCACTCTGATTCCTATGAGTGGCCAAAACCAATTTAAAGGCATGGGCTGCCCTGTTTGCCAAGCTTCTGGACGAGAGGTAGTCAAGTCAAGATTTTCCATGTCCAGTTCTTGTTGCTAGATTTCTACTGTTTTAGTTCAAGGTCTGATGTTTTTTTGTGTGTATGCATTGCAGTGCATCTTTCTAAATCAGTTGCCTCCTAAAAATGGATTCCATGCATTAGCTTTTTTACTCTAGGCTTTTTAAATTGTTGGTACACGCGCTCTTTTCCCAAGGAGCTGTTGCACTCATTGCTGCGCCACTTGCGATTCCAGGCCCTGCCGTGTCATCCGCTTCCTCCCCGTGTCATTGGCGAACGGCCGCGGTCAACGAGTTTCAACTTGGGAGAGGTGGGAATTGGTCCCATGCCAGCGCCTGGCCATGCGTCCCCCCGTCATGCTCCGTGGCGCATGTTGGGCTGGCTTGTGAGGCATTTCGGCGTCGCAGGTAGGGTGTCGTATTTCGCTAGGACATTTGATACACGAGTCGTGAATTTCGCGATTGTCGTAATTTCCACACCCCGCAACATGAGGTAGGCGCAACTCACGGATTCGACCTGCCGCGAAAACACCTCGCCAAACGCCATCCCGCCAAAACCTATCCAAGCGCGTGCTCCCCCATTCTCGGGGAACAGAAATGTTTGCGTTGCATTACGAGCCGCGTATAAGCCCTACAATTCCCCTATAAAACCCCTACTCGTCACGATCATTTCCATCGAATTGTCTACAATTCTTCCCATTCTCACACGGCTATCGAGTCTCTTTGGCGCACGCAACTCCCATTCTGTCTCCGCCACCTTCACTTTCTGCTAGATCTCGCGGACGCCTAACAAGTGCCACGACTCGGGAAGCGAAGATCATCCTTCCCACGCCATAATGGGCTGCGCAACGCGAGGCATGTCCTTGCCGCTTCTTCTGCTTGCTCTTTTCGTGGCGTCAACTTCCGTCGCACCTGGTATAACCCGCACGTCGTTTCCTCCCAACATTTCCGCCACCTTCTCACATTTATTCCCTTGGTGGCACACCAGCGTTCCGACCACCAGCTCGTTTCCGCTTCCTCTTCCAACGGCATTCCTTCGCAGACCCCTTTTCCTATCTCTCTCTCTCTCTCTTTCCTTCGCCAACTCTACATCCCAAAATTCCAGGATCAGAAATACGGAGTAGGTATACAGTAGGTATGGCATAGGTACGTCTGCTACGGAGTAGCCTTGCTATACGAACAACTATACCTACAATATAGGAGAGATCCACATTTTTGTGATGTACTTCGCCGCTAACCCAATTCTTCATTGCCGGTGCTTTTCTCTCTCTGCAGCATCCGCGAGGCCCTTCTCCGCACGGCGCAGTCTCGCCCTCAAGGCCCTCTCGACGGGCCCCGTCGCGCTCCTCAAGCAGATCACCTCACCCACCCCAACCGTGCTGCTCAAGACCCCGTTGACCCAGCCCGCGTCAACCGTGCTCCTCAGCTCCCCATACATCTCGCCCGTCAAAGTCTTGGCGGCCGTTGACCAAGTCGACCCCACTGGCGGAGACCTGGATGGAGACACCGGCGGAGACCTGGGCGGAGACACCAGCGGTGGCCTGGGAGGAGACACGGGCGGGGACCTGAGCGGAGACACGGGCGGGGGGCTGGGCGGAGACACGGGCGGGGGGCTGGGCGGAGACACCGGCGGAGATCTGGGCGGAGACACCGGCGGAGATCTGGGCGGAGACACCGGCGGAGACGTTGGCGGTGACACGGGAGGAGACCTGGGCGGGGACCTGGGCGGAGACACGGGCGGTCCTGGCGGAGACACGGGCGGTCCTGGCGGAGACACTGGCGGAGAGACTGGCGGAGACCAGGGCGTTTCGGGCGGAGACCAGGGCGTTTCGGCGGAGACCAGGGAGGCCCGGGCGGAGACCAGGGCGGTCCGGGCGGAGACCAGGGCGGTCCGGGCGGAGACCAGGGCGGCCCGGGCGGAGACCAGGGCGGCCCGGGCGGAGACCAGGGCGGCCCGGGCGGAGACCAGGGCGGCCGGGCGGAGAGCAGGGAGGAGAGGACGGCGGGCCAACCAGCGGGGCTGGCGGAAAGAGCGGAGGCGGAAAGGCGGAAAGGGCGGCAAGGGTGGCAAGGGCGGAAAGGGAGGCAAGGGTGGAAAGGGAGGAAAGGGAGGAAAAGGAGGAAAGGGTGGTAACCAGCAGGGTGGTAACCAGCAGGACGGTCAGGATGGCGGCCCACCAGTCGGGGGCAGCCAAGGCGGAGCTGGCGGGAAGGGGGGCAAGACAACGGGCGGCAAGCAGCAGAACGGCCCTGGGGGCGAGCAAGGAGAGCCTGGCGGAGAGCAGGGCGGACCTGACGGAGAGGGAGGGGGGTCCTGGCGGAGAGCAGCAGGAGGGATCTGGCGGAAAGAAGCAGGGGGACCTGGCGGAAGAAAGCAGGGGGAGCTGGCGGACAGCAAGGTCGAGCTGGCGGGGAGCAAGGCGGACAGCAGGGAGAATCGAGCGGAGATCAGGGGGGGACCTGGCGGAGATCAGGGGGGACCTGGTGGAGATCAGGGGGGATCGGAAGGGGAGCAGGGGGGATCTGGCGGGGAGCAGGGAGGATCTGGCCTTTCGAATCAGAAGGGAGAGACGAAGAGCACAAAGAGCAGCGGGAAGGGAGGGAAGGGCGGAAAGGGAGGGAAGGCGGGAAGGGAGGGAAGGGGGGTCAAGGGTGGCAAGGGGGGGAAAGGTGGGAAGAAGTGAAGAGCTGTAAGTTTCTGGTTCAGATGCTTTCTTCCCTGACATCAAGTGTGAAGTCTGTTCTTGTTGTAAATCATAGGTTGACATGACCAGTGTTGTAAACTTAGTATGTCTACTGCAATGCAAGCTCGCTGTATCTCTTTTTTTGCCCAATTTAACAGACCTCCTTTCTTGATCTGGAAACTCTCGTGCATCCTGTTTTGCATGTCTGGTTATGTGCCGGATAGCTCATGTGCAGTGCAACATGCGTGAGGGGATATGTGCAATAGATGTGCAATGTCTAGGCTGTGTGCAGTGCAACATGCGTGAGGGGATATGTGCAATAGATGTGCAATGTCTAGGCTGTGTGCCAGAATTGTAGAATTCTACGTGCACCTTACAGCCTGTATGTACGCCTTACAGAGCTGCTGCCTTACAGAGCTGCATATGAGCTACAACCCTGAAAGAGTGCAAGCAGAACTCGCCAGGGCTCAGGCGAGCCAAGGGCAAGGAGCCGCAAGAGCAACTGGAGCAGCAGCAGCAGGAGCAGGAGCAGGATCAGAAAGGACAAGAGGAGGGTCAGGAGTATTCACAGGAGCAGGAGCAGGGGCAGCAGCAGCAGCAGCAGCTGGAGGGTCTAGAGGGGGCCAGTGTGTGATATGCTGGGATTCTGCAGCGCAGGCAGTGTGGGTGCCATGTGGGCATGTGGCCGGGTGCAGAGGCTAGAGCCAAGGTGTGGGGCTGCCCCAGGCCTCTCAACAGCAGGGCGAAACACCCTGATTGCCCTGCTTTCTCCGGGTGTTTTTTTGTGTCCTCTTAGAAATCCGACTTTGAAATGTTTTTACTCTGATGTTGAAGTGTACCGGATTTTTTACCCTGCAAGAAACTGGCTTCTGGACTTGTGTACACTGAACCACCAGGGTTTAAAAGTACCCTGGTACAGAAACCTTCAAGGATCAGATACGTGTCGAATTTCCAGCGCGTGATACAGGCACGCCCCCCCCCCCCCCCACAGGCATTTCCGTGCTGGCTTTCCCGCCCACTCTGACATGCGCTGTCCCAGACTCCACCTCAGGCTGCACCCCGTTGGCTCTGCGGCAGGTCCTTATTGGTTGGTTTGGCAGCATTGGTGCCAGGCCTTCAGAAGTCAGGCCAAAAAGGCCTGAAAAGCTGTATATCAGGGTGTTTTTTAGCCAAGCGCAACCCATGTGCGGTGGGCGCGTGTGTGAATGATGGGGCAGGGTCGTACTCGTGTGTGTGTCCTCCAGGCTTCAGGCAGGGCACCACTGTGAATGGCACCTTTTCCTGCGCTCCATGTACCTTCTCCTGCGCTCCAGGTACCTTCTCCTGCACTCCAGGTACCTTCTCCTACGCTCCAGGTACCTTCTCCTGCCCTCCAGGTACCTTCTCCTCTGCTCCCAGTATCTTTGCTCTTCTCCAGCTACATTTGGCTATTTGGCACGTTTGCAGCTTGAGTCGCTAGAGAAAAGCCTTTGTTTCGCTCGCACTTGCAAGCCAACAAGCCGCGTGCTGTGTGCATACTGTGCTGTGCTCTGCTGCATGCCGTGCTCTGCTGCATGCTGTGCTCTGCTGCATGCTGTGCTCTGCTGCATGCCGTGCTCTGCTGCATGCCGTGCTCTGCTGCATGCTGTGCTCTGCCGCATGCTGTGCTGTGCTGCATGCGGTGCTCTGCTGCATGCTGTGCTCTGCTGCATGCTGTGCTCTGCTGCATGCTGAGCTCTGCTGCATGCTGTGCTCTTCTGCATGCCGTGCTCTGGTGCATGCTGTGCTCTGCTGCATGCTGTGCTGTGCTGCATGCTGTGCTGTGCTGCATGCGGTGCTCTGCTGCATGCTGTGCTCTGCTGCATGCTGTGCTCTGCTGCATGCAGTGCTCTGCTGCATGCTGTGCTCTTCTGCATGCTGTGCTCTGCTGCATGCTGTGCTCTGCTGCATGCGGTGCTCTGCTGCATGCCGTGCTGTGCTGCATGCTGTGCTCTGCTGCATGCTGTGCTCTGCTGCATGCGGTGCTCTGCTCCATGCCGTGCTCTGCTGCATGCTGTGCTCTGCTGCATGCTGTGATCTGCTGCATGCTGTGCTGTGCTGCGTGCTTTGCTCTTCTGCATGCCGTGCTCTGCTGCATGCTGTGCTCTGCTGCGTGCTGTGCTCTGCTGCATGCTGTGCTGTTCTGCATGCTGTGCTGTGCTGCATGCCGTGCTGTGCTGCATGCTGTGCTGTGCTGCATGCTGTGCTCTGATGCATGCTGTGCTCTGCTGCATGCTGTGCTCTGCTGCATGCTGTGCTCTTCTGCATGCCGAGCTTTGCGGCATGCTGTGCTCTGCTGCATGCCGTGCTGTGCTGCATGCTGTGCTCTGCTGCATGCTGTGCTCTGCTGCATGTGGTGCTCTGCTCCATGCCGTGCTCTGCTGCATGCTGTGCTCTGCTGCATGCTGTGATCTGCTGCATGCTGTGCTGTGCTGCGTGCTTTGCTCTTCTGCATGCCGTGCTCTGCTGCATGCTGTGCTCTGCTGCGTGCTGTGCTCTGCTGCATGCTGTGCTGTTCTGCATGCTGTGCTGTGCTGCATGCCGTGCTGTGCTGCATGCTGTGCTGTGCTGCATGCTGTGCTCTGCTGCATGCTGTGCTCTGCTGCATGCTGTGCTCTGCTGCATGCTGTGCTCTTCTGCATGCCGAGCTTTGCGGCATGCTGTGCTCTGCTGCATGCCGTGCTCTGCTGCATGCTGTGCTCTGCTGCATGCTGTGCTCTGCTGCATGCTGTGCTCTGCTGCATGCTCTGCTCTGCTGCATGCTGTGCTCTCCTGCATGCCGTGCTCTGCTGCATGCTGTGCTCTTCTGCATGCTGTCCTCTGCTGCACGCTGTGCTCTTCTGCATGCCGTGCTCTGTTGCATGCTGTGCTATGCTGCATGCCGTGCTCTCTTGCATGCTGTGCTCTGCTACATGCTGTGCTCTGCTGCATGCTGTGCTCTGCTGCATGCTGTGCTCTGCTGCATGCTGTGCTCTGCTGCATGCTGAGCTCTGCTGCATGCTGTGCTCTTCTGCATGCCGTGCTCTGGTGCATGCTGTGCTCTGCTGCATGCTGTGCTGTGCTGCATGCTGTGCTGTGCTGCATGCGGTGCTCTGCTGCATGCTGTGCTCTGCTGCATGCTGTGCTCTGCTGCATGCTGTGCTCTGCTGCGTGCGGTGCTCTGCTCCATGCCATGCTCTGCTGCATGCTGTGCTCTGCTGCATGCAGTGCTCTGCTGCATGCTGTGCTCTGCTGCATGCTTCGCTCTTCTGCATGCCGTGCTCTGCTGCATGCTGTGCTCTGCTGCATGCTGTGCTCTGCTGCATGCGGTGCTCTGCTCCATGCCATGCTCTGCTGCATGATGTGCTCCGCTGCATGCAGTGCTCTGCTGCATGCTGTGCTCTGCTGCATGCTTTGCTCTTCTGCATGCCGTGCTCTGCTGCATGCTGTACTCTGCTACATGCTGTGCTCTGCTGCATGCTGTGCTGTTCTGCATGCTGTGCTGTGCTGCATGCTGTGCTCTGCTGCATGCCGTGCTGTGCTGCATGCTGTGCTCTGCTGCATGCTGTGCTCTGCTGCATGCTGTGCTCTTCTGCATGCCGAGCTCTGCGGCATGCTGTGCTCTGCTGCATGCCGTGCTCTGGTGCATGCTGTGCTCTTCTGCATGCCGTGCTCTGCTGCATGCTGTGCTGTGCTGCATGCTCTGCTCTGCTGCATGCTGTGCTCTTCTGCATGCCATGCTCTGCTGCATGCTGTGCTCTGCTGCATGCTGTGCTCTGCTGCATGCTGTGATCTGCTGCATGCTGTGCTCTGCTGCATGCTGTGCTCTTCTGCATGCCGTGCTCTTCTGCATGGCATGCTCTGCTGCATGCTGTGCTCTGCTGCATGCTGTGCTCTTCTGCATGCCGTGCTCTTCTGCATGCCATGCTCTACTGCATGCTGTGCTCTGCTGCATGCAGGTGGCACCAGCGACAAGAACACCATGCTCTCTTCCAACGTCATGCAGCAGAGCACGGCATGCAGCATGCCGTGCACTCTTCCCTTATCAGGAAGCACGTTCTTCAGTGATAAGGGAAAGATGTGGGTCTTTGGAACGGATTGGCACATTCTAGCTGGCGGGGTGCGCAGTCAGGGTTTGTACGAGATGCACTTACAAGTGAAGGGGTTGGTGAAGGGAATAGTTAGCTATCTGCCCGAACCTGAGGAGGGCAAGAAGGCTAGGGAGGAGTTGGTTGTCATGATAGAGGAGAGGCCAGAGGGAGAGCCACAGTTACGGTCAATGGCTATAGCAAAGGCGGCAGGAGGAGTGGAGCTAGGCATGTGGCACAGGAGGATGGGTCATGCTAGTGAGGAGTGGATTAAGGAGATGGTGGCGAAGGAGATGGTTATGGGGATGAAGCTGAACCAGAGTAAGGAGTCTGCTAAGCCATGCAGTGAGTGTATGCAAGGGAAAGCGAGCAAAATTCCACATCCTAAGCACGAGATTCGAGAACCCTATGGGGCACTCGAAGTCGTGGCTGCAGATGTCTGTAGACCACTGCGAGTAGCTTCGAGGCATGGGAGCAGGTATTTCATCACATTCACTGATCTTGGTACACGGAATACGTGGGTAACAGAGATGAGAGATAAGACAAAGGTATTTCCAAGCTTTGTGGCTTGGATGGCTGAAGCTGAATGCCAGAGTGGAAGAATGCTAAAGCTGCTGAGGACTGACAATGGAGGTGAATTTACAGACAGGAGTTTCACAGAGTTTTGTCAGTCCAGAGGTATCAAGAGGCAACTGACTGTCCCTTATACCCCACAGCACAACAGCATTGCAGAGCGAGTAAACAGGTCGCTGCTGAACATCGTGAGGAGTATGCTTGCTGATAGTGGGCTTCCACTGAGGTTTTGGGGTGATGCTTTGGCCATGGCATGTTGGATTAAAAACAGACTTCCTACCAAAGGTACTATGGGTGACCTTACCCCTCATGAGGCATTCTATAGGAGGAAGCCTGATGTGAGCTTCCTGAGGGTATGGGGCTGTATGGTCCAATATAGAGAGCCAGTTGGTCCTGAGCACAAGCTGTTGCCAAGGACCAGGTGGGGCATAAACCTCGGGATATGTCTTAACAGCAAGGGCTGGGTGGTGAAGGACGTGGAGACTGGAAAGGTGCTGATTACTTGGGATACTACTTTCTATGATGATGTCTCTTATACCCAGTGGAAAGGCTTGAGCCAAGAGTCAGCAGAGACAGCAAAAACGATGGAGGAACTGCTGGAGGAGGCTAACCAAGAAGGATTAGGAACAGCAGCAGCTGGTAGAGAGGAGGAGACCGAGGAAGAGCAGATTAGGGCTGAGGTGGAATGGGAGTGGCACCCAAAGGAGGTAGAGCAGAGGGTAGCGAGCGAAGAGCTAGCAGGACCAGCCATTCAGCTCGTACAAGAGGAGGTAGAGAGCAGGGCAGGACACCATGAGGAAGCGGAGAGTCAGGTGGAAGTAGCAGAGGGCACACAAGGGAGTGCTACTACAGCTGGAGACGGGACTGATCCATGGAGGTTGATGGCGAGTGATAGTGGCAATCCAGCAGCTAAGGAGATAGACTCTTTGTTACAAGAAGGAGCGATAGTCCTAGGACGAGAAGAGGAGGAGAGAGCGGAGCAGGAAGGAGCAGCCTCTAACGAAGAAGGAGGGGATGTGTCACAGGTGCCTACAGAGGAATTAGGCAGGGGGAAGAGGGTGAAGAAGCCGAATCCAAAGTATGCATAGATTCTCATAACCGGATGCAGAGACATTCCATTCCCACCTGCTGCTCACTACCACTGCAACAGCTTTAGTATCACAGGGGAGTAGAGCGGCGAAGGATCTGCCAGAGGAGCTGCTCACGATAGAGGAGGCTTTGATAGGACCGAATAAGGAGCAGTGGCAAGCAGCCATAGAAGAAGAGCTTAATACGCTAGCAAAGAGGGGAACCTGGGAGCTAGTGCCACTGCCAGAAGGGAGGAAAGCAGTCGAGGTGAAGTGGATCTTCAAGATAACGACAGGAGACTTGGGGCAGCTGGAAAGGTTCAAGGCAAGGCTCGTAGCGAAAGGGTACACGCATGTAGAAGGCGTCGATTACACCGATACCTATACACCTGTGAGTAGATTTACCACAGCTAGGGCACTTCTTGCAGTGATAGCAGCAAGAGATCTTCATCTGGTACAATTAGACATCAAGAATGCCTTCTTGTATGGCGAGCTTCGCGAGGACATTTTCATGGAGCAGCCACCGGGTAGAGATGATGGAATAAGACGGAAGTGTCGGCTTCTGAAAGCACTTTATGGGCTGAAGCAGAGTCCTCGCGAGTGGTATAGGGTAATGGATAGGAGGCTACTCCAAGGAGGGTTTCGGAAGAGCGAGTGTGACAGGGCGTTCTATTGGAGAGGAGAAGGGAAGGAGAAGGTGTTCCTACTCCTATATGTCGATGACATATTGGTGGCAGGAGCAACAGAGGAGGATGTAGAGAGCGTGTGCGCTCATCTAGCAGAGGTCTTTCAAGTGAAGCGGATTCCACGTGCTTCATTGTTCCTTGGGATGAATGTGGAGCGGAACAGGGATGAGAGGCAACTGATGCTGAAGCAGAAGAAGTTTTTCCATCGTCTTCGAGAGAAGTTTGGAGATCACAATAGTGCCAGGAGGATTTCCACACCTTTGAGTACTGCAGCAGCACAAGGGGTAGACACCGAGGCTGAGTTAGATCAATGGGGAAGTCGAGAGGTTGCGCTTAGGCAGTACCAGTCGATGGTGGGCTCAATGATGTACCCGGTGGCGTGCACCAGGGTCGATGTAGCTTATACAGCTAGCTATCTTGGACAAAACGTGCAGCAAGCGGATGGGCGGAAGTGGAAGGAGATGGAGCGAACGATTAGTTACCTCCTACAACACGAGGACGAGGGACTATTGTTCAAAGGAGGAGAGGAGTCTTTGCAGCTTGTAGGGTATGCAGACGCTTCACACGCTTCAGATCAGGAGACTAGACGAGGAGCTTTTGGGTACGTTTTCCTTTTGGGTGGAACAGCGATCATGTGGCAAGCCAAGAAATTAGCAGACATCGCTTTGTCTAGCGCTGAAGCTGAGTACATGGCGCTCTTCTACGCATGTCAGGAGGGAGTTTGGTTGAGGTGTCTACACAAGGAGCTAGATCTTGGGCCAGAGGGTCCGACCATCATCCGGACGGATAGCTAGTCAGCGATGGACCTAGCTCGGAATGACAATTGGCATGGACGGACAAAACACATAGATGTTAGGTATCACTGGGTGCGAGAGCAGCTGGCGAACAAGAGTTTCGGGTTCGAGCATGTGAGAACAGAACAACAGCCAGCTGATTTCTTGACCAAGGTCCTACCTACACCTCGTTTCCAGCATTGTAAGAGAGAGGTGGGGTCACAAACGTAGCTCGAGTGAGCAGGCCGCAAACCACAGGGGAGGTTGTTGGAAGTGGTTCGCGCTTGCCCCTAGTCAACGTGTGGCAGCTTGTACAGATGGCGTAAGCTAGGTGGTAGTGTGGCAGCGCTAACAGGTGGCGTAAGCTAAAGACTTCATATGGGTGTGCTAGGTGGTGAGGGGCTGCAGGGTTACGTGTTGGAAGGAGGAGGTGTTTGGGACACGCAGAGGACTTGTGAGCGACGAGCAGAGATTGGTACAGTGACGCGGTGTTCGGAGGAGCAGAAATGCGGTTCGGTTACGTTGTGTGAAATGCGGTTCGGATGTGCGCTACGCAATGTCATGTGGCTTAGGAATTTTTGTTTTTCCATATAAATCTGTTTCTTTGTATCTCTTGGTAGATAGTGAATCTGAAAATTCTCTCTCACGTCGTGCTGCCTGTTTGCAACCAGAACTTGACTGGTGGCGTTAATTCTACCCTTAGTACTTGCGAGAGTGCTGTCAGGTGTTTGTTTGGAGTGTAAGAACGACTTGAGAGCAGCGAGAGCGCTGCCGGAAATTTGAACAACTGGTACCTACTATTTGCACTTCCAAGTGCATGTATGGTATGGTATGTGTGCTACAAGTACCTGGAAGGGTCTTTCTAGAGCAAGGGCCTGGAAATCTGACGAACTACCATGCGTGTAGCAAGACAGAATGCCAGGGATCTAGTGCCCAACACACACAGCACAGTAGGTAGTGTGCAGTCAGACAAGCAGGTTGGAGGGAATGAAATGTAACCACCAGAATCTTGAGGTTACAAGGTCAGTCATGCTTCAAACTAAACTGAGCATAGTCATTCATCCTAACAGAATCCAGCCCATATGTAGTAAAGTAGGTTTGCTCTCTCCTTCCACAGGGTGATTCTGCCAACCACTACGCTATTCTACCGGTATTGATACCGCGATACATCTTACCGCCTACCGCATGGTTTGTACATGTGCAGCAAGGAAGGCAACGCTAAAATGCTGTAAGGAAACATGTTATAGCGCAAACTGCAAGATACCGCAGAGCCGAAACTCGTCCCAGAAGTGAGCTGAATCGAGCATGATTTGCGTGTCTTGGTCGTCTGGCTGTATGGCCTTATTGGTGGCCCTAAGTACGGCCTCACTGCTGGCCCAGATGGCCTCACTGCTGACCCAGCACTTGGCTGAGCTTGGCAGCAGCGTCCTTCCGAGCACTGGGAGGGAGCTGCAGGAGAGGGCATGGAAGGCAGTGAAGGCAGTGAAGGCAGTGAAGGCATGGCATTGAACGGCGTAGGGAGATCATTGTGAGAACGGAGGGTCATGCATGATCATGAAGGGGAATGCACGGAAGGGAGGGCGCCAGACGGCGAAAGGAAGGATGCCACGGGCCAAACTGAACCCGGGGGCACAGGGCAGAGGGTGAAGGTGTGGGTGTGACCTCAGGGTTAAGCCAAGGGAAGGAGGTGTGCAGAGAAAAACATAACTGCCGAGCAGGCAGGAAGAAAACAGCAGACAAGGGAGAGGAATAGATGAAAGAAGTCAGGGAAAGACAGACCCACTTACCGACTGCAGCACGCTGGCCACTGCCTGAGCCAGCCCATCAGCAACGCTCCCCGCGTCCCTCTCCCGCGTGAGCACCTCTCCCAACTTGGCGCTACCACCCTCCTCCTGAACCCCTCCTCACTCAGAAAACATGTGAAAGCCAACAAGGCACTTACAGACTGCAGCACGCTGGCCACGGCCTGTGCCAGCCCATCAGCAATGCTCCCTGCGTGCCTCTCCCTCGTCTCAAGACCTTGTCTAGAAAGGAATCCTCAAACCGCGACAGAGAACTTACCGACTGCAGCACGCTGGCCACGGCCTGTGCCAGCCCATCTGCAATGCTCCCCGCGTGCCTCTCCCTCGTCTCAAGACCTTGTCTAGAAAGGAATCCTCAAACCGCGACAGAGAACTTACCGACTGCAGCACGCTGGCCACGGCCTGTGCCAGCCCATCTGCAATGCTCCCCGCGTGCCTCTCCCTCGTCTCAAGACCTTGTCTAGAAAGGAATCCTCAAACCGCGACAGAGAACTTACCGACTGCAGCACGCTGGCCACGGCCTGTGCCAGCCCATCTGCAATGCTCCCCGCGTGCCTCTCCCTCGTCTCAAGACCTTGTCTAGAAAGGAATCCTCAAACCGCGACAGAGAACTTACCGACTGCAGCACGCTGGCCACGGCCTGTGCCAGCCCATCCGCAATGCTCCCCGCGTCCCTCTCCCTCGTCAGCGCATGCGCCAGCCGCTCCCCTCTCAGCCCCAACACCCTCCTCCTGAACCCATCCGCGTTCCTCCTGGTGCCCTGCACCCACGCCACAAACTGCTTGTCGTCCAGCCAGTCCCCCTCGTCGATCGCCTCGCTCGTCCGCAGCGCCTCACTCTCGCCCCGCTTCACCCTCTGCTCCTCCAAATACCATCTCTTCACCGCCGCAATCGCGTCGATCTTCCCCAGCCCTTCCACGTTCAGCATAAACTGCCTCGCGAGCCCGTCCTCTGCCACTTTCCGGCACAACCGTGAGTAGAAATACGCCCTCGAATTCTCCCAGGTGACGATGTCCCGGATCGCTCCCTTGGCTGCCATGCGCCGGGGAGTATCATGCAGCTCAGCGAACCGCACGGCAATCTGGGTGTACACCGGCAGAAGCGCCTTCTCCCTCTGTGCAATCAACCCTTCGGTCACTGTCACCGACCCATTGTCATTCCCCTGTGCCTGCAGCTGCTTCGCTGCCCTCAGTGCCTTGTCCAGATCGATTATCTCCGGGTCAAGCCTGTGCATGGCTTCGATCAGCTCCCTCCTCCTGAACTTAATCTCCACCACACCTTCCGGCTCGAGCACCGCACCCCTTGCCGAATCCTCAGCGTACATCTCCACCATGTGGGGGTTGATCCGATGGTCCACAACCACCCACGCGCCGCCCCTCAGCTCGCCCTTCTTCGGGATGTACACAAACACCGGCTGGTCGTACGTTCGCAGATGCTCCACAATGAGCGACCCCGCTTGAAGCACCCCCTCAAACAGATCCCTCTGCCCTCCAGAAAACCCTCTCCAATTGGCCAGAATAAACAGCGGAAGCCCCTCCAAGCGAAGGTCTAGTAAAGCCTGGGCCGTTTTAGCAGCTGAGTCGGGGTACCACACCTGGCCAGCCTGTGGGAGCACACGCTCGTGTGAGTCTGGCTGCCCGGGATCGGCCGGAATGTTCTGGAACACCGTCTGGGTCTCCACTGCAATCACCCCCACGGGGATACCTCCCAACCGCGCCCGACCCACCACCACCGTTTTCGCCCACCCGTCCAGCATTTCCATGAAGCTTCCCTCGTCGAACATCCCCCGGAGGAACCGTGAGCCAGACTGGATCCCAGCGACTGCAGCGCGGGGATCGCAGGAGGTGGTCGGGTTGTACTCCACCTTGCGAGAGGGCGGGTCGAGGGGCTTGGCGACGATCGGCAGCGGGCGGTTGACCGCAGCCGGGACATAGGAGAGCCAGCGGAGAATGGCGAGCACGCCGTCGAGATCATTCGCGACTGTGTTGTGCACCACCCCGTTCACAGCCATAACCTTGGGCCCGCCCAGCTGCATGTGTGATGTGTACACGTCCCGCCCCAGCAGCTTATTCAGAGCAGAAAACCCTGTGAGGATGATCGGCTGGTCCTGCCTCTGGATCACGCGACTGCCTAAACGCGCCAGGTATGCGCCGATGCCCACTGTCCTCCCCGTGACAAACGTCAGCGTGAACGTCTCGTGGAACGCGCGTGAGAACACGCTCGCGATCGCACCGCTCCCAGACAGATTCTCCACGCCAAGACCCTCCTCCGCCCCGATGATATCCGTCAGCACCCACCGCCGCTCCCCGGATGGCTCCATCACCACCTCATGCGCCACCACGGACGACCGCACGCGGGCATAGTCCTCTGGGGTGAGATACAGGTAATGAAACCCTCTCTCGGGGTTCTTTTCGTCGAGCCAGGCCGCATGCAGGCAGCGCTTGACCTCCTCTGCGATCCCGATCCGCGCCCCGGAGTTGGCAGCCAGGTACAGCAGCGGGGCCTTGTGCTTGATTGCCTCGAGAGTAATCGCGTGGAAAAGCATGTCCTCGTGAAGGCCGAAGGCCCCCGCGCCTCTGGTGACATCGTTCGCTACGATGTAGACAGTGCGGCCATCCGGGAACTCTGGCGTGCGCAGGGTCAGCCGCCAGCCGACCATCGCGATGCTGTTCAGCCCTGCAGGGCGGCCCGTTTCCTGTAGCTTTGCATCCCATGCAACGTTTGGGTCGGCGAAAATGAGCTCCTTGTAGGTGAGGTGGGGGGCGGGCGGGGCGGTGTGCGTTCCCTTGGCCTCTGCTACAGCCCAGATCTGCTTCAGGGCTTCCTCAAAGATCTGGAAGGGGGAGGTCAGATAGGGAGTTGGAAGGGAAGAGAAGAGGAAAAGATAGTTCGCTTTCAGAGCAAACCAGAGCAAACCAGAGCAAACCGGAGCAAACCAGAGCAAACCGGAGCAAACCAGAGCAAACCGCCCCAGATGGCCCCATCACAGACAAACCATCCATACCACCACCACAACCACCGCCATCACCACAACTACCCACCGAGAGGAAGTCATAGCAGAAGGTGGTGCCGGCCTTCCTGGCCGCCAGCCGTCGCTTATCGATGGAGCTCAGCGGCCCATACGGCGCCGAGAGCGGCGTGCCGTGCAGCGGGCCCATGCCTTTGAGGGTCATCGTGGTGCCAGTGGGGGTGGAGGAGGCGGACGGCATGGGGAGGAGCGACGCGGTGACGCGCACGGGGAGCGCTGCGGGCGGCAGGATGAGGGCGTTGTCGGGCCACGAGGGCATGTCGGTGCGCGGCAGCTTGGGCGGCGAGGAGAAGTACACAAAGTTCTTGCCGGCCGCGTCATCTGCCTCCATGTATGCCTGATGGGCGTGGGGGAGACACGGCAGGAATCGGGAGAGGGTGAGGGGGGATGAGAGCGTTCATTTGTCGTGCCAGGAGAGGTTTCTTTGTACAGCAGCTTGGGCGGCTAGGAGACATCGACGAAGTTCTTGCCGGCCACGTCGTCGGTCTCCAAGAAAGTCTGGATTGGGATGGAGGAACATGGGAATGGTGAAAAGGGAGAAAGAAAGGAAAAAAGAAAGAAAGAAGCTTTGACTGCCGGTGCTAGACGGCAGTTTTGACCACCGGTGCTAGACAGCAGTATTTGAAGCTTTGAATGAAGAACACTCCGCTCACAACTTCCACCTAAACAAGTCAAGATACTGAAGCCCTTCAAACCACGACTCACCTGCACCAGGCAGGCATGGCCACTGGGGTTCTCAGCCACCAGGCGCCAGGCGCCAGAGCCCACGCCCACGCCCTTGATCTTGACTCTGGCCTCCCACATGCACAGCGCCAGCGAGCGCATCCGCGGCGCCACCATGGCGTCCGCCAGGCGACCCAACCCACACAGCATCTTCTCCACCTCCGCCAGGTTGAAGCTGATGCAGGGAGGGAGGGGGAGGGGGGAGGGGAAGAGAGGGGAGGAAAGAGGAGCGTTGTTAGGCACCACATGTCATCCTTGGCATCCGTCAGGCAGCCCAGCCTGCACAGCATCTGATCCTCCCCGGCCAGGTTGAAGCTCCTGGAGTGGGGCGGGGAAGGGGGGAGGCGGGGCGATGAGAGATAAAGGAACTTGGGGAGGGCAAGGGAGCTTCAATACAATCTTAGTGAGTTAAGTTGGCTAAGTAAGCTCAAATGCCACCAGAACTCACACTGACGCCCCAGGGCTCATTTCGAATGACAGCGACTCCAGCAGAGCCACGAAGATGTGGGCATGTTCCACCTTGAGAGTGATATTGACTGTCAGCTTGGCACTCACCCTGAAGCCCGGGGGCTCATCTCAAACGACAGCGACCCCAGCAGAGCCATGAAGATGTGGGCATGGTCCGCCTTGAGCGTCGTCTCCAGCTCCGGCTCATCCAACGCCTCCTGGATCGCCGCCGCCAGCGTCCTCGCCGCCACTTCAATCTGAACCGTACATTCGCTCACCAGCGAATCCGAGAACGACGGCTCACGCGTCACCTCTGCCCCTCCCCCTCCAATCCCACCACCACCAGTACCACCACCGCCGCCAATCCAGCTAGCACTACCACCGCTGCTGCTGCCGCCGGGGGGGCTAGAGTCGCCTCCTCCACCTCCGGTGGCGGATTTGGGCAGGCGCACGACAGAGCGCAGGAAGAGGCGGCGGATGCCCGAGGGCTTCTCGGTGGTGGAGTAGATGTGCCAGTGACGGTTGCGCGACCGCTTGTACTGCATCTCGCCGAAACTCATCAGCTTTTGCTGTTAAAGGAAAGGGGGGAGGGGTGGTGGGGGGAAGATTGTGATTGGGAGCAGGAAGACGAGGCAGACACCAACACAGGTACCGCAAACGCATAAACCACTATCCCAGAGCACTAACCAGCTCCAGCAAATTTGAGAAAGCGGCTCAACGTGCCACATGAGCGGCCACTGGTAGCAGTGCCACAGCGGCGCCCTGCCCTGCCCTGGCCATGCTACATGGTGCTTCCAGGCACCAACTCACTAACCCAACACACCCCGCACGATTCTCCAAAGCACTAACCAGTTCCAGCAGATCTGATAGCAGAGGCTCCACGTATCGCTTGAGCGGCCACTCCTCAAAACGTCTCGCGCTCCTCACTCCTTGCTCCAGTGGAAGCAGTGCCGCAGCGGCACGCGGCCCTGCCCGTGCTTCAAGATACCCCAAGAAACACTTGGTCACCCCGCGACACACACCCCACTACTCCCCACAGCACTTACCAGCTCGAGGAGATCCGATAGCGGAGGCTCCACGTGCCGCATGAGCGGCCACTCCTCGAACGTCTCGCGCTCCTCGCTCCAGTGGAAGCAGTGCCTCAGCGGCGCGCGGCCCTGCCCGTGCTGCACCACGATGCAGCTCACCGCCGTCACGCCCGCCCCGTGCAGCGTGGATGCTGCGTCCGCGTCCAGCAGGGACCGCCGCAGCGTGTGAATGCGGTCCTCCATGCGGAAAGTAGAAGGGCTGTCCGCACTGGGGGGGGATAGAGAAGGAAAGGGGGAGAACGGGAGTACAGGTGCAGTGTCAAAGATATTGTAGGGGACAAGGGGGTCCATCCATCCATCCATCCATCGCAGCCTGTGAATTCCGTCCTCCATGCGGAAGGTGGAGGGGCTTTCGGCGCTGGGTTGGGGGGGGGAGATGAAGAGGGATGCCAGATGGGTAAGGGAAAGATCTTGTGTAAGGATAGGAACAGAGGGGCACCATTCGTCCAGCATGCACCGCCACAGCGTGTGAATGCAGCCCTCCATGCTGAAGGTTGAAGGGCTATCAGTGCTCGTGTAAACACAAGGGCAGTTTAGTAGCCTGTGCCTTGCTGAAATACCAAAAGAGCAGAGATCGAACCACCAAAAGGGCAGGACGTGGAAGGAAAAGGCCCTTACAGGCTGTCGAGCTTCGGCAGCAGAGCCACATGCGCCACGTTCCCAGCGCCAAACGGGATCCCCAGGAACGTCCTGATCCGCTTCATCCCGCCAAACGGCAGGTCCTCCGCACTCGCCTTCCTGGCCGCCGCCACCCGTGTCTGCTTCCCATCCACAGCACTCAGCAACCACCCATCCGGGTGCGATATCACGGGTCGCAGCAGCGCCTTAACCTCCTGGAGAGTCGACGCCACCACCATCACTCCCCACCGCTTCACCCCCCCGGTCGACGGCGCCTTGAACGTCGGGCTATCCGGGCCCTCCTCAAGCTGCTCGATCGACGGCGGCGGCCCTTCCTCCCAGAACTCCCATGACGCCACTACAGATTTGTTACTCCCCGCCACCACTGTCACCGAATCCTTCACGATATAAGGCTGGTACAGCCTTCGGATGTACGTTTCCACCGCTCGGGACTGTACGTCCGAGTCCATGTAGTCAAACAAGGAGGTCAGCGCGTCGTCGATAGCCACAGGCGCGTCAACCAGCCGCTCCATCCTCGCGTCGAGGGACTCTCTGACCACGTTGGGGTCTAGGGAGCGCGGGGTGAGCACGTCTGCAGCCTCGCTTCCTGCGGCAGAGAGATCTGACTTGCTGCTGGCGGTTGACAGGGCGCCCTCGGAGATGTCGAGGTTGGACAGGTTGTGCACCACGCCTGCCTGGAGTTCCGCCAGCTGGATCTGCTCCAGGAGGAGCTTGGCTTTGACCAGCACCTGTGGGGGAGGAAGAGAGGGCAGGGAGGCACGAGGAAGCAGTGAGGATGGACAGAGGGCGCCTTCGGAGATGTCAAGGTTGGAGAGGCTGTGCACCACGCCTGCCTTTTAGTTCCGCCAGCTGGATCTGCTCCAGCAGCAGCTTGGCCTTCACCAGCACCTGAGAGGGAGGAGGAAACGGGGTAAGGATGGAGCAGACGACATGATGACAGAGCAAGCAGCGAGGCACGAGGAAGCAGTGAGGATGGACAGAGGGCGCCTTCGGAGATGTCCAGGTTCGAGAGGCTGTGCACCACGCCAGCTTGTAGCTCTGCAAGCTGGATCTGCTCCAGGAAGAGCTTGGCCTTCACCAGCACCTGAGTGGGAGAAGGAGAGGGCAGAGGCAGGCGATGGGAACGGTGCCGCAGCATGACTCATGAGACCTGGCCTTTGCAAGAGAGGGAGGCGGTGATAGGGGGGAGGGAGGGAGGGTGGAAGGAAGGGGAGGGGAGGCGAGCGTAAAAGGAGGCGAGAGCGAGAAGGCCATGGGCATACCTTGGAGTGCTTGATGTTGGAGAGCGAGGAGAGCTCCTTCAGCGTCGTCTCGTTTTGAGACGTGTCAAAACAGTTCAGTTTTGAGGTCTCAGAACTGAACTACCATGAGGACGAGAGGGCCATGGGCATACCTTGGAGTGCTTGATGTTGGAGAGCGAGGAGAGCTCCTTGAGCATGGTCTTGTGCTTGCTGGGGTTGGGCGCCACCATGCGGTCCAGGATCGCCACCACCAGGTCGTTCTTGCGCGCCACACCCTGCAGAGAGAGGAGGAGGGGGAGGAGGGGAGAGGGGAGAGGCATGCGAGCATGTGTCTGTCTGCGGGACGTCTCAGACCTTTCACCTTTCACATTTCACATGGCCAAGGTGTTTTTGAGAATTCTCAAAAACACCCTGCAAGGGCCAAGGATCGCCACCACCAGGTCGTTCTTGCGCGCCACACCCTGCAGAGACGGGAAGGATATGATTTCTAGTAAGTTCAAGAAACACATCAGCAGGGAAGGCTGCGTGCAGCGCAGCATGCAGCAACAGCAGCAGCAGAAGCAGGAGCAAACGCAGTAGATTGCCTGGTGTGGGTGGCTCGAGTGACACCACCACTTGGGCATTCCATAGGTTTGTTCAGCAGAACACCAAAGCTGAACAGCAAACGCTGGCCGAGGATTCGCCTGGTTTAATTTGAAAGCACTAATTGTCTCGAACGGCACCACACTACATCAAGACAAGGACCCCACTACCCCCAGCTAGGACTTACCTGGTGTGAGAGTACGACGTCCACCACCTTTGCCAGGTCCTTCTTGTGCGTCTGGCGCAGCCCCTCGATCACATCCGCCTGCAGGGAAGGTAGGGGTGTGTGTGGGGGGGGGGGCGGGCGGGAAGATAGGGGTGCAGGTTTGGCCAGGTCCTTCCTGTGCGCCTGCATGCATAGCAAAAGTAGGTGGTGTTGGGACAGATACATCTTGGGACTTGCCCAGAAAATGCACAGACATAGAAATATCCATATCCTCACTCAATCCCTTCCCCTACCTGCTCACTTACCCACCCAACCACTCATGCACTCACCCTCCCAACTCGCTGAATTTACTCACTCAATCACTCTCACTCCCCCACTCACTCGCACACCCACCCACCTGAGGCGTCTTGCAGAAGTTCTGCTCCACGCTGAGGTACTGGCTCAGCAGGTCCTGGATCACAGTCAGCTCGAACTGCTCCCTGCCCCGCTACATGCATCGCAGTTCAGCCACACATACCCCAAGCAATTCAAGCCCTCCCCTGCTCGAAGTTTCCACTCACTCCTTCACTCACTCCCCCACTCCCGCACCCACCTGAGGCGTCTTGCAGAAGTTCTGTTCCACGCTGAGGTACTGGCTCACAAGGTCCTGGATCACAGTCAGCTCGAACAGCTCCCTGCCTCTCACGAGCACCTAAGCACATTCACTCACTCCCACACTCAAATTACTCACTCCCGCATTCACTCACTCCCGCACTCACTCACTCCCACCCACCTGAGGCGTCTCGCAGAAGTTCTGCTCCACGCTGAGGTACTGGCTCAGCAGGTCCTGGATCACCGTCAGCTCGAACTGCTCCCTGCCGCCCGCATGCAGCTCCGCCACCCGCAGCAGCGGCGCCACCAGCTGCTCCTGTCCCATGCGGTCCTTGGCCGGCAGACGGTCCAGGTACGACCGGATGATGGTGACGCACTCGGGGGCGGGGAAGGAGAGCAGGCGCGGGGAAGAAGTTCCTTGGGTCGACTCTGAGCCCTTCAGCAGGGCGTCCAGCTATAGTTGGAAGGGGTAATATGGAGGGCGGGAGGGGAGGGGTGAGTGGAAAGAGCCACCAGTGGGACCAGGAGTCCTGAGGAGGGTAGGGGAGCCGGGAGGGGTACGAGCCACGAGCTGCTCGTGCCCCAAGCGGTCCTTAGGCAGGCAGTCCAGGTACGAGCGGATGATGGTGACGCACTCAGGGGCGGGGAAGGAGAGCAGGCGTGGGGAGGACTCAGCCCAAAGACCTATGCCTAGGCATACTTCCTCAGCCTTTGCCTGTTTCCGCACAACAGCTCACCTCTGCCTTGAGCTCCTTGGGCAGGAGCGTGGCGCGCACAGACGCCACCATCTCCTGCCACTGCAGTACCCTGTGCACCTCCGTCTGGAGCGCATTCATCCAGGCACATGTACACCCATGCGTGCACCCATGCATGGCACAACAACTCACCTCCGCTTTGAGCTCCTTTGGCAGGCGCGTGGCGAGAACAGATGCCATTTCCTGCCACTGCAGCGCCGGCACCGACTCGTCCTTGAGCCCGTAGATGATCTCCTGCACCACCTGGATGGATCAAAGGGATGGGGGGCAGCGAGATTGGAGGGGCAGAGGAGCAGCGTTTGTGAGATGGAGATGCGGCACCGACTCATCCCTGAGCCCATAGATGATCTCCTCCCCCACCTGCAATTCAGTTGGAAAGTTGGGGCTGGGAAAGTAACGGAGGTCTAAAAGTGGTTTTTGGAAAAGTTCATGAACCTCCGTGAGGAGTCTATTTTTGAGGCGCCTCAAAAATAGTAACGGAGGTCTAAAAGTGATTTTTGGAAAATTTCATGAACCTTCCTCACCTTCACCCATCTGACTAAAGCCGCACCCACCTCCGTGATGTTATGCTCGTAGCCCGCCAGAATGAGCCCGGCCTTCTTGAGCGCCTCTGCAAAGCGGTGGTGCGCCTTGTCCGGCTGCACAGTTGGCGTGCCCAGCTCTGGGAAATCCCCAGTGAACTGCTGCACGACATTTCTAGCTGTCAGATCGTCGAGATCAAGGGTGGCGATGAGATCCCCCGCGGTCATGGTCTGGCCCTCGGAGAGGCGCCAGTGGATGCAGCCGGAGGCGGGCGCGAGCAGCGGCATGCACATCTTCATCACCTCCACCTCGGCGTAAGGCTCGTCCACGTTCAGGTGCCCGCCCTCCTCCACCAGCTGCCGCATCAGCTTGCACGGCGTCTCTGCCACCAGCTTCGACGGGTCGTGCTCGTTCTGGGGTGGGCAGGAGTGAAGGGGAGGGGGGGAGGGGGAGAGTGGGCGAGCAGCGGCATGCACAACGTCATGCCACATCAGCTCGGACGTGGTTGTAGATGGGTCAAGCTCGTTCTGTGGTGTTTGGGAGTAAAAACGAATTTCAAGGGCAGAGTGAGGGAAGGATACAGGAGAAAGTTGGGACAGAGAGAGGGGTGAGGGCGAGAGAGAGGAGGTGAGGGCGAGAGAGAGGAGGTGAGGGCCAGTCAGGAGAAACCAGGGGAAGAGGGGAGGGAGAGAAACTGGAAAAGTTTCCAACCCAGAAAGTAGAAACAGACAAACCCAGCCACCCACCAAGCAATTTGACACCCCACCTAGCCTCACCTGGAGGAGGCATGGGCGGCCGCCAATGAGCAGGCGGGTTCCAGCAGCCTCTTCCTCCGCATACACCACATAGCTGTTGCCGTCCAACTGGAGGCGGGAAGGGGAGCGCGGTTTGTAGGGGAAGAGGAAGGGGGGGAGACAAAAAGGTGAATGTCTTTCTGGCAATGGTCCTATCTGGAAGAGCAGGCTGCCGACTCTGAGCGTGTGCACCTCAACTGATCAATTCGCAACTCGCAACTGAAGAAGACCAATCAGTAACTGCGAGCAGCCCGTGGGAGTGTACCTGATAGCCGTCTGTGAGCGTCTGATAATTAATGAAGGGACCAACCTCACCAGCATGTCAAAGGGCGTCAGGCGAGTCATACCTGGCAGAGCAGCCCGCCATCTCTGAGCGTGTGCACCTCTGCCAGCACCTCCTGCTGGTTCATCCGGATCTTGTAGCTTCCAGGACCCTGCCTGCTCAGCGCGAGCTGGTGAGGGATACGCGTAGAGCAGCAGCGTGGGGGGGAGGGGAGGAGGGGGGGGGAGGATGAGGGGCAGTGGCGGACAAGAAACAAGGAGGGACTTGGGGCAAATGGAAAGGCATGGGGATTCAAACTGCATCTATGTGTGGGTGTGCGTGTTTACCATGTACTTGACGTTGTCAATGTTGAGAACGAGGTCAAAGTTGACCAGGGAAATGCTCTGCAACCAACCAACCAACCAACCAGACAAACAGACAGGCAGAGGGCAAGCAGAGAGCAAAAGCCGTGCTTAACTGTAGAGCGCATGCAATAGCGACATCAAGGGTGATACTAAGAAGGGGACAATCAGAGCCATTCAGGCAACTTCCTGCTGCCATGCTGTAACAAAGTTCTGTCTAGGCCTCAGACTCGACTAGATCCTGTGCCTCAACCACAGGAGATCGAAATCTTATGGGCACGGAGGGCTCAGCACAAATCTCCAAGCTCTTCTCTGCAGACAACTCACCGTAGGAGAAAATCCACGTACTCTCACGCACATCACATTGAGAACTCACCCCTGGAGGGATCTGGCCCTTCTCGAGGTACCCCATGTACTCGGACACGCGGGCAGCTGCAGTGCGAGACGCCATCTGCTCACACGGACACAAGAGAAAGGTGGATGACCATGGGTGGCCATGGAAGGGCAGGGCAGGAGCTCGTTACTTGGTGATGGCGGGAGAATCGTGGGAGAAAGGGACGTCGGGATGGGAGAGTGGGAGGAGGGAGGCGGGCAGAAGGTGGAGGCTTATGGAGAGGGCTCCAGGGATGACGCAGATGTGCCACTGGGGGCGCTGAGGAGTCTTGATGCGCATGGCAATGCATACCCCAGGGCGCCCCAGAAGTTGGTGAAAAGGGCGCACAAGAAGCAGAGAGGTGGGGGGGGGGCTTACGAAGAGGGCTCCAGCGATGACGCAGATGTGCCAAGGGTGGCGCTGAGTCTTGATGCGCATGGCAATGCGGGAGTCCAGCCAGCCCGTGTGAATCACATTGTTGATGTACTCCTTGTCCTGCCAGGCGCAGAAGGCAGATGCAGAAAGTGACAGTACCCATCAGTTGAAGTCGAACCATCAGTCGTGACGACAGACAGGGTTCGGGGTTCTGGGTCTCGGATTTAGGACTTAAGGAAAACGCCAGCCGAAAACGGCAAGGCAAGACATGAAAAACAGAGACAGCGTGGAAGCTGCTCCACAGCACTGCCGTGGGTTCTGATGCCACAAGATCAATCTCCGAGTCTACTCCACAGCACCAAGTCAACTGGAGAAGGAAACGCGAGCTTTTAGGTGAATCTAGCAGCGCACCTGGAGCAGGTCGGCCGTGTAGTCCACGTTGGTGTGGATCTCCCCTCGGATCTGCACCGACTTGAGCGCCAGCACCATGTTAGCTATGGCGGCCGGCCGGTCCTGGCCAAACGCAAACAGGTGACCTGCGGTGAGAGAGGGGGGGAGATGTGACGGAGGGAGGGAGATGCACGGGGGGGGGGGGGAGGAGTTTGAGCGCCAGCACCATGTTGGCCATGGCTGAAGGCTGGTCCTGGCCGAATGCAAACAAGTGACCTGAAGCACAAGACGGGAAGATGTGACGGAGGGAGGGAGGGAGGGAGATGCAAGAGAGAAGCTCAGCTCCTAACCTTTTGGGGGCTTAAACCCGTCCTCCTGGCCCTCACTGGTCACCCACACTGCCACCACGTGCCCTAAACCAGTACCCAAAAACGCCCAATTTCGACACAACTGCAGCACTCACCAAACTGGGAGTCGGAGAACTCGTGAATCTGGCCGCCCGCCTTGATGGAGAAGTACGCCCACACGTCCGGCTTGCTCCTGAAGCTCAGCTCCTGCACCCGGCCGCTCGTGGGCTTGAACCCGTTCTCGGGGTCCTCACTGGTCACCCGCACCGCCACCACGTGCCCCTTGGGCTTGGTGGACGTGACGTCATCAAAGTTAAAGGTGTCCAGCCCGGCACACTTGCTCCAGTCGCTGGAGCCACCTCCCCCCCGCCCATAGAAGCGGCGGATCTCTGGCAGGCGGAAGAGAGGGACGCCCATGGCGATGGAGAGCTGCGTGGCTGGGAGGTTCACCCCGGCTATCCACTCCGTCACTGGATGCTCCACCTGCCAGGGGGGAGTGGGGGATGGGGACAAAGGGGTTAAGGTGAAAACACTAGTCTGAGGAGAGGGATGTATGTGGCGACGCAGAGCTGCGTGGCTGGGAGGTTCACCCCAGCTATCACTCCGTCACTGGATGCTCCACCTGAGATGGAGGGGTTGTAGGGGAATGGAGGGAGAACACGTTTGACATGAGAGGGATGGGGAGGCGTTAGGGGATGGAGATATGTGTGTACCTCGAATGTGGCTACCCACCCACGCACTGCATGCTCCACTTGCCAGAGTGTCAATGGAGAGGGGCGGGGGGGGGTTGGTGGAGAGATGGAGCAAGAATACATCGAACAGTGGGGGTGACCGACCATATCTCGAGGCGGCAGGAGAGAGCATACTCGCAGGCCGAGGGGTCAGCACACCTGCAGGCGCGGGTTGACTTCGAGGAAGTAGGAGGAGTTGCCCGCCATGCTGTACAGGTACTCCACCGTCGCCACGCCGCAGTACCCCACGATCTTGGCCAGCCGCCTCGCGCCCTGCTCCAGCTCGTGTATCACGTCTGGCGGGGCCACGCTGATCGGCCCTTCCTCAATGATCTGCACGGTGATTCAGCGGCGAGTCAGGATGGTGGAAGATGGGTCAGCAGTGAGACAGCACCATTCAAGCCGCGAGCCAGTTAGTGAGCCGGTATGTGAGGAAGCAGTGCGTCAGTGGGCCAGCACAAGTCAGCGGGCCCCAGTTGGCACACCCTGCCTCACACTATCAGTGTGGCACCTATCCCACCTCGCTCTACACTGCAAAGCAGGCGCCTGGAACAACCCTTCACTGTACTCAAATCCTGTCTACAAGTTTCTTCCCTAACTTGCAATTGCAAGGCGCTATGAGTCACGGGTCCTAGCTATATCATCAACACCAACACGTACTACTGTCGGCTGAGGAGAAGAATCGCGCAATTGAGCCATCTCAGTTGCCGTCCGTCTCCCAAAACCATTAACGCTTATTCTACCTACAAGTTCTGGTCCTGTACAGATGCTGCTGATAGAGCTTCGTACCCGTAACTCGTTCATCAGCTGTTCCTAGGTTTAGTACGCGTTGTAATACTCGTCACACTAAAGCACTTCCTGGTGGCGCCACAGGCTGCCGCAGTCCCTGCCGTGCAGCACAACGACGGTGCCATACGCGTCACATGCTAACACACACGGGCTCAGTTTCATACGCCATGACTTAACACGTTACGTACCCCTGCCCTTGACCCATGCCCCACACACCCTTCCCTCCCCTCTCACCTTCTGGTGGCGCCTCTGGATGCTGCAGTCCCTGCTGTGCAGCGCCACTACGTTGCCATACGCGTCACACGCCAGCTGCACCTCCAAGTGCCGGCTCTGACGAATAGCGGATGCGACGGAGGGGACGTGTAGGGAGAAAGAGGGTCCGAGGCGATTAAGGATGGGGGAAAACGAAACGGGAGGAAGTTTTCACTACCGCCAACCTCGTCATGGTAAAATACGGTAGCGCAATTCATTTCGACACTGCAGTTCGTTACTTTCTAGGACACAATTTCCAAGAACCCGCAGCTGTCCTCTTCGCGTGCTGAGCCTTGACAACGCCCGCGGCTAACAAAACCTAATGAAGGAAACAACCACCCATAAACGACTTACCAGCGCAGCCACTTTCATGACGAAGACAGGCGAGCCGGGCACCTCTCCCTGCACTTGCTTGAACAGCGTCATCGCCTCCTCCTCGTTGTGCACCTGCACTCCCCGGCGCACCAACGCATTTCCCAAGGAAAAAACAAAAACGGATGCTTAGCTCCGAGGCGAGCGCTTGAAACTATAAAAAGAAGAAAATCGCGAAGGCGAGCGAGCGAGAGGCTTGGGAGGCGAGTAGCAAAGAGCAAGTGAAGGAGGGTTTACCTTGCGGATGCCCTTGCCGCCGCCACCCCAAGAGGCCTTGATCATGGCTGGGTAACCCACGCGGTTGCAGCACTCAAGGCAATCCTCCGTGGTGCGCACGCACGCCTGGTGGTAGAGCTCGTCGTCGATCTCCTCCCTGCACTGCTCGTCGGGCAGGATTATCTGGTGCAGGGCGCACACGACAGCACAGGAAGTAGGGGAGAATAGACAGAGATAAGAGAAACGGACAATGAGTGAAACAGTCTGACCCAATTACTTATCGGGCAAGCAAGCGGAGAGCACTGATTGGCGACGCTTTTCAACGGGTGCAAGCGTTGCAGAAACGACGCATCAAGCTGTCACGACAATGAAGACGTGTCTTGCACTTACGTTGGAGCCACTCCACGGAATCGTTGAGACTCGGGCAGTCTGAGCTATAAGCGTGGAGCCAATCTTATCGCCCAGAGCCGCCATGGCATGCGCGGGAGGACCGAGGAACGCTATGCCTTTAGCCGTGAGGGTCGCCGGAAGATCCGGATTCTCCGACGCGTGGCCCCAACCAGGCCATACAGCATCCACTTTAGTCCGCTCAGCCACCTGAGATGAACGAAAACGAGTTAAGAATATTGCTTGAACCACGGCAACTGCACACGGTAGAACAGATTGCAGCTAAGTCCTAATGCTACGCACACGGACATTTGTCGTTTACCTCGACAATAAGCTGGACGTTCGCGTAGTTGTTGTTGTTGGTCCCGCCTGGAACCTCAACGAACGTATCAGCCATGCGAATGTGTTCGGCATTCGCACGCATGTCTTCGGGCGTCGCCATGGCGACCAGCTGAATGGCTCGCTCTTGACCGAAGGTCTCGAAGGCCCATGACCTGATAAATAGGCGATAGGATAGGAAAGTAAAGAAATAAAATGTAAGTTAGCTTTCATGAACTTGAAAACCGCCTTTTAACGGGGATGTTGGACTAACCTGATGCTGTTGATAAACTTGACGGCTGCAATGCCATTGTTAGCGATCAGAACGCTGTTAATGGGCCGTGTTCCCCCGAGGAGACGGCAGTATTCGGCCACCATGTTTGGCCCTCCGCTGAACGCGGTTCCATTAGCTACAGGCACCATACTGGAGAGTCACGGAGATCACCAAGGGTCTACTAGCTCTACAATTTCAAAACGGTCTATTCGTCTAGAGAACAGTCTTCCAGGTTAGGCAGGATCACATCTCAATACGGTTGTCTAAAACCACTTTTAAAACTCTATGTCCCGCACCAGAAGGGCAGTGTCCTGTCCACCTATGCAGATCCGCCTATCACTACAAGCCTATTATCCCAACAGGAGAGTGACGCAAGCCTTCTGACTTTGGTTCTAACGTAACTCCAGAGTGATGATACGTCACTTTCAACGGTTGGCAATATTGAACATGGAGCTGAAGGCTAGGAATTGTACAGGCAAGAGGAAACCGAGAGATGCAAGAGATGCTCATTCCACCAGATGCAGGGAAGAGTGGCGGTCAGGAGGACTCAGGAGAAAGGCGAGGGGTGGGAACGAAAGGCGGGAAACTCCTTGGGATCATCTCTGTCCGTCTCTGTCAGAAGCCAGACGAAGTCGCTGTACTTCGCATTGTAGTGCGAATAGAAGTTACCGGGTCTGGCCCCTAAATCGCAGTGTCGCGGGCATCATTGGCAATTCCCAAGGTCACTGTCTATCACTTCCTTGCAGCGATTCAAACGTCAGCACTAGCGGCTTGGAGCTTCATTCGAAGCCGTGCAAACACCACACTCGTGTGCAGAAAGGATGCGGCAAAGAAATCGCTAAAGTTACACTAGGCTAACGTTTTCCCCTTCGCGTCAATTCGTCTATTCTTGCGATTGGCTGCGACCAGCCACTCTTTGCGTCATGTGGCATTCTCGCTCGAGACTGGCCCACGCGTCACGAGAACGAAAGGTGTCAGAGAAGTGCAGGGTAGCATGTGGTGGAAGTTTGTGCAGCCGCGACGCGACCACCTAGCTTGGGGTTTTGGCTTGGATGCATCCAGACCTAGTTTGAGAATTTCGTGGAAGCGATACGCATTTGAAGCGGAACAGATAAGACGCGACACAAAGCAGCGCCAAATGTCAACGGCTTAAGTGAATTGAGGATTTTGAAGTGTATCCCATTGCTAATAGCAAAATCGAATATGAGCAAGAATACACACGGAAATGCATGCAAGATAAAGGAACTGACGTGAGGACTGAATCAAACTCCTGAACCATAATAAATGCGCTGCCTCAGGAGACGAGGCACATTAGGGAGTACTATGAGTATGCTAGCACCAACTATTACCATACCTCCATGGTTCACATGCCTGTAACTGTCACCTAAAACACTTGGGGGACGAAGGTCTGATCAGTGACTGGCGGCCGCACATAATAATCCTCCTGCAGCGGCGGGATCTTCACATCATTCGGCTCGATCAGATCCTCATACGGGATCAAGCTGAGCAGATGCGCAATCACATTCAGCCTCGCCTCCTTCTTATCGTCCGACGGCACCACATACCACGGAGCCTGCTTGATATCGCAGTACCCAAACATCACGTCTTTCGCATACGAGTAATCCGCCCACCGCGCCCGCGACTGCAGATCCATGTCGCTCAGCTTCCACCGCTTCTCAGGCCGGTCCAGCCGCTCCTTAAACCGCTTCTCCTGCTCCTCAGGACTCACCGACACCCAGTACTTCACCAAAATAATCCCCGACCGCACCAGCATGCGCTCAAACTCAGGGCACGACCGCAGAAACTCCCGATACTCCTCATCTGTGCAAAACCCCATGACCCGCTCGACCCCCGCGCGGTTGTACCAGCTTCGGTCAAAGAGAACCATCTCGCCCGCGGCGGGGAGGTGCGCCACGTAGCGCTGGAAGTACCACTGCGTGCGCTCACGGTCCGAGGGGGTGCCCAGCGCCTTGATGCTGCACACGCGCGGGTTCAGCGGCGAGGTGATCACCTTGAGTATGCCGCCCTTGCCCGCCGCGTCACGCCCCTCGAAGATGACGACCACGCGGAGGCCCTTGTTTTTGATCCACTCCTGCAGCTTCACTAGCTCCAGCTGGGAAGGGTGGGAAGAGGCGAAGGGGGAGGAGGGAGGAGAGGAAGAGAGAAAGGCGAGTGAGGGCAAGAATGCACTCTAGGAGATCACCACCACGCGCAGACCCTTGCTCTGGATCCACTCCTGCAGCTTCACTAGCTCCAGCTGGGGGGGCGGGGAAAGGGGGGATGGGGGGTGGATGGCGGGATGGGGGGATGGTGGCGGGATGGGGAGGCGGAGGGGAGATGGAGAAAGGCATGTAGAAAACCCTACGAAGATCATCACGACACGTGACTCTTATTTGTTATCCAATCCTGCAGCAGGTTTTTGAAATTTCTCAAAAAGCTTCACCAGCTCGAGCTGGTGGACACGGGGAGAAGGAGAGGGGAGGCGGGGGGGGGGGGGAAGGGGGGAAGAGAGGAGGGAGAAAGACGTCTGATAGGCAACAGGAAAATCTCTAGGGAGACGACCACCACACGCAGGGGACCTTCTTTCTCATCGCCCCTGCAGATTTACTTGCTCGAGGTGGGGGAGGATGGGAGGAGAGAGATGGTGGGCGGGAGGGGAAGGGGTGGGGGGTTGGGTGGTGGAGAGCAGGGAGAACAGGGAGGGCATGCAGGTGGGGGAAACGGAGGGAAGCACATTCATGGGCGGCATACGTTTGTCTGTTCCTAGGTTATGGCACGTGCACCCAGCTTCACAAAACCACTCGCACTCACACATTTACGTTGCAATGAGCAATGCGCAATGTGCACGTTACGTGCTTATAAACTTGCACTTACACGCTATTCCTGCCCTTAATAAAGCCCGGAAACTTCCTGTGGATTGACCTTCGCAGTCCACATTTACCTGCCCACAGCTTTGAGGCGCCTCAAAATTTACCTGCCCAGAGCACTTCCACTACCCGTGCTTGTTGAATTCGCCAAACCTTTCTGGATTCGTAAACCCAAAGTACGGACACTCTCAAGAGAGACCAAAGCAAACAGGTGCAAGTGCATTCCATACAGATGCAAACTTTCATTCCCAGGAACACCTGGTACGCGTTACAAGCTCACCTGCAGCCTCTCCAGCTCGTCCTCGTAATCATAGTTCTTCTTCTTCTTCCCCTTATCCTTCTCCGCCGCTTTCGCGTGCGACGACAGGTCGTCCGGGTAATGTGCGAATCGCTCAACCCCCCGGCTGCGACCCGCCTTGCCCTTCTTCGCTTTCTTGCTCCCTTCGCTGCCCGTGGAGGTGTCAGAACTTTCAGAGCTGCCCGAAGTAGCCGAATCACTCGAGCCACGGTCGCTCTGCTCGCTCTCCGTTTTCTCCGCCGCGTCCTCCGCCTCCCCCTCCTCATCCTCCTCCTCCGCCGCATCCTTCTTTTTCTTTTTCTTCTCCCCCTTCTTCTTCCCCTTGCCGTTTTTCACGGCGCGATCCCCGGCGTCGCTCAGGTAGAGCTCCTCGTGCCGGTAAACGCGGGGCGCCCACCCGCCGCCGTGAGGCGCGCCGATTTCGCCGCCGGCCGACACGCCTGGCGCGCCGCCATCTTCGTCGCCGAAGCTGCCGCCGCCGACTGCGGGGAGCTCGAAGTCGTCGAGTCGCGGGCCTCTGGCCGCTGGGAGCGCGATTCCCGCGGCCGCATCCTTCTCGGCCTCGTTTTCGCCCTTCTTCGCACGCGTGGTTACCACTCGAGCGACATTGCTTCGCCGAGCGTCATGGAGCCGGAGGAAACCGGGCTGCGAAGCGTGGCGAAGGGGACGCCGAGACGCGAGACGAGGGACGGCGGGAGTTGCGGAGAGGCCTGAAAATGCGGAGACGAGGAGCGTCGCAGGCATCGCGTGCCCACACCGAAACAGCACCGCACGGCGGGAGTTGCTATGGATGTCGACTTTTGAGTCGACTCAAAAGTCCGAGACAACACCGAACCCCTCAGGCGCTGTTGCAGCTGACGTTGCGGTGCTACAAGCTACGGGCGTTGATTTCAAGGCGGACAACGCGGATTAGCACGCTGGGGCGCCGCAAACAGCGTTATGGTAGGTAGGGCGCCGTGGAATTCTAACTGCTGAGTCTCTTGAATCTCACAAGCCTCTTGTTGGAAGGATGTCATATGCAGTGCGGGGTGGTCCCCTGAATGAAGTTCGTTGTGTTGGATCTAGGGGGTATTCGAGAAGCTCGCATTCTGGAATGCGGGTTCTTTGAGTGGAAAGCAATTACGATGCCACAAAGTGCCTGGGCTAATTTGAGGGAAGGCCTAGGCCCATGCCTTTTCGAATACCGTATTTAACCGTTTTTAAAGTGTTCTTGCACTTACGAACAACAATCCGACTCACACAAAGCTTTCCGTAAATGCGTCTCTATTCTGAAGCTTGTAATTGTGTCGAGCCACTCGACCAACGCCTTTTGGTTGCAAGGGCCGAAACAAATGACAACGCAGCAGTGCTGTGGTGGCGCTGACAGCGCAGGTCTGATGTGGTGATTTCTGACGTGTCGAACGCCAATGAGAAGCGGCAAAGCGAGATCTTTATGCACTGCTTGCACGAATTATGTACATCGTGTATATTCGCTTCTCGTTGTCTAAAACGAAAATCTCCTCTCCAGCATGCATGCAAATCCCCTCTCCAGCATATCAACATTATGTGGAAGTGGACTAATGCTAAGCCAATCCCCTCTCCAGCATGCATGCAAATCCCCTCTCCAGCATATCAACAGCAATATAGACGCCTACCATATCAACATTATGTGGAAGTGGACTAATGCTAAGCCAACGAACTAAGGGGAAGCCTGGGGGAGCCCAGGCACAGGTTTTGGTAAGGAAAAACTTCTGCCTAGCCGAATGTTGAATCTGACGATTTGTAGGGAGGGACGCCTAAGATGTCCCCTGACTCGGCTAAATAAGCCTTGCGAGATGTCTATTGTTCGGCATCTACTTGAACTCCACCTAAAGACAAGCCGGAGGGCTAATTTTCAATAGCTCAACATCCACTTGAGAGGGAGGCATAACCGTTGGCATTGTCTTTCTCGCAAGATAGGAACACAAACACATACACAATGAAGTATGTGCGGGCACAACGATCTACTAGAAGAGCCCCAGGGCGCGCTTCCTCTGGTCCTGCTTCCACTTGGGCAGCGCATAGAACTTGCTCTTGTCGTACCCGAATATGCGGCGGAAGTCAGCGTCCGACAGGTACGACTGCCGTACAGGAGATGCACCCGGAGGAAGTGGGTCGAATGGGAAGAGGAGTGGGGTGGAAGCAGGGCAAGAGGGAGACAGGGGAGAGGAGGGATTTTTGGAGCGTGTAGAGCTTGCTCTTGTCCTACCCGAATATGCAAGGGAAGTCAGCGTCCGACAGGTGCGACTGCCAGGCAGGAGATGCACCTGGAGGATGGGGGCCGAATGGGAGGAGGAGAGGGGGGGGGGGGGGGGGAAGTGGGGGGGGAGGGGTGGGGGGGCAAGAGGGGGACAGGTGGGAGAAGGGATCTGGGAGCGTGTAGAGCTTGCTCTTGTACCCGAATATGCGACGGAAGTCAGCGTCCGACAGGTGCGAGTGCCAGGCTGGGAATGCCCCAAGACGGCTGAATGGGGTATCAAGGGGAGAGGAAGGGGAGGGGGTGAGGGCGGGGGGGCTGTCAAGCGCGTATTTCACCCCTCCACTGCCTCCTCACTGCTTGCGCCGAGGTGCAAAAAAGGCCCCTCCTCACCCTTAGCCCCTGATTCGCCTCTCTCCTGGCAGTGTCAATCCCTCTGATCAGGTTCCTGCTGCCGACCATGAGCCTGTCAAAAGCGAGCGTCACCCCTTCCACAGCCACCTGATGGTTCAGCTTCTGGTGCCTAACAAGCCCTTCTCATTGCCCCACCCTCCCCTCAACTCACCACTCGCCGTTCAACGTCAATCCCTCGAATTGGATTCCTGCAGTCAACTGTCAGCCTGGCAAACGCCTACGTCACTCCCTCCACTGCCTCCTCACCTGCTTTAGGAGCATCACAAGCCTTTCCCACCCTTTCCCACACCTTCCCACTCCTCCCTATTCACCCTTTGCCCCTGACGCACCTCCCTCCTAGCAGTGTCAATCCCTCGAATCGGGTTCCTGCTGTCAACAATCAGCCTGTCAAACGCGTACGTCGCCCCCTCCACTGCCTCCTCCCCAATTGGTGCACCACTAGCACCACTAGCAGCACCACCACCACCAGCACCAGCACGAGCACCACTCTTCTTCCCGTCAACCTCGTCCTCGCTATTGTCATCCTCGCTACCCCCCTCGGGCACAGAGCCCGAAACCGAGCCTGATTTGGAGAGCTTGAGCGGCTCCACCTCGGAGTGAGGAGCCGTAACCGACGCAGAGTGCGCTGCGAGAGTGGAGAGAAGGGAGAAGGATTAAGGAGGGGTGGGGGGGGGGGGAGGGCGGGGGAAAGAGAGAGGGATAGTGGGTCCGTTGAGCGTGAGAGCTTTGGGGTCTAACTGAGGAGTGGCGACAGTGAGGAGAGGCGACAGCGAGGAGTGAGGAGCCGTGACCCCATGCCTTCCCTCCCAGCCAGGCCCTTGATCAGGGCGGGCGAGATGGTGCGTCTCCCCCCATCCTCCCACATACCTTTCCCTCTCACTAATCCAGTCCTGATTCCCCCATTGAGTGAGCCTGTGAGTTGGCTCCAAAAGTCACCTCCAAAAGTCACAATGTCACTCTCCCCCCATCCTCCCACATACCTTTCCCTCTCACTAACCCAGGCCTGCTTCCCCGCTTGAGTGAGCCTGTGAGAGCAGCAGCCATGGCGGCAGCGCGTGGGGTGGAGGGGGAAGCACCGGAAATGGTCCCTTTGACCCCGTGGTTGCCATCCCAGCAACCACCTGTCCTCCTATGCCCTTCTCCTACCTCCCACTCACTCATTCTCGGCTCCCCCTTGAGCGTCCCGGTGAAAGCAGCCATGGCAGCGGCCCGCTGGGTAAAGGAGGGGGGCGGACCGGGAGACAGGCCCCTCGCCCCCATGCCTGCCCTCCCAGCCAGGCCCTTGATGAGCGCGGGGGAGATGGTGATGGAGGGGGAGGGCTTGGAGTTGGGGGAGGAGACGGGCTGACTGGCTTACCCAACGATCTCCCACTCACCCATTCTGGGCTCCCCCTTGAGCGTCCCTGTCAGAGCAGCCATGGCAGCAGCACGCTGGGTGGAGGGGGACGGACCAGGAGAAAGGCCCGTTGGCCCCACGGCAGTTCTCCCAGCCAGGCCCTTGATGAGCGCAGGGGAGATGGTGAGGGAGAGGGGGGGCTTGGAGTGGGGCGAGTGGGGAGTGGAGGAGGAGTGGGGGGTGGAGGAAGAGGAGGTGGCGGAGGGGGATTGGTGGGAGAGAGCTGCGAGGCGGCGCTTGGCAGTCTGAGGGATAGTGTGGGGAATGGGGAGGGAGGGGTGGAGGGAGATGAGAAGGCAGAGTGGGGGGGATGAGAGAAGCTGAAATGAGCTCCGTAGAGAGAGAAAGTCGTTGTGAGAAGGAAGGTGAGGAGTCTATTATTGAGGCGCCTCGAAAGTCGTTGTGAGAAAGAAGGTGGACGTGTGGAAGGGGGCCTTTGGAAACAGAGGAAGGAGAGGGAGAGAGGGGGTGGGCATGCAAGAATAGATATCTACGAGATGATGGCTAAAATGAGGGCAAATCGATCTAAAATGAGGCCTAAAAACGAGGATTAAACCGAGGGTTAAAACGAGGGCTAAACGGAGTGCCAAAAGGCGGGCTAAAACGAGGGATCTGTTGTAGAAAGAAACAACATCCACCATGATCCATGCATGCATCAAAGCACTCACATCTGAGAGCTCCAGTGCTCTCCCTTGCAGCAGAGCGAGCTTTCGCTCATACGGGTCCGCTAGCGCCTGATGGAGAGAATGAGGGGTAGAGAAAGGTAGAGAAAGGTAGAGAAAGGTAGAGAAAGAGGGAAGGAGAGCCGAGGGCTTGTGAGCCGTCTCGTCTGAAGGGCTGTGCCTTGCAGCGCAGAGCCAGCTTGCACTCATACGGATCTGCTAGCGCCTGATCTTTGAGGCGCCTCAAAAATAGACTCCTGTGCCTTGCAGCGCAGAGCCAGCTTGCACTCATATGGATCTGCTAGCGCCTGATGGGGCAAGAGGGTCATGAGATCAGGGAATAAGAGCGAACACGAGAAAGACTCCGATGCTCTGGATGAATCAGATAGATGGACCGAGACTGTGATGCCACAGAAGGGTTGCACCATGCAACAGAGGCAGCTACCACTTGCGAGCGGTCGATTGGTCCCCAGTCGACTGGTTCGACCGGGGGCAGGTGCTCGCGGTCGACTGAGTCTACATAGAAAGGCAATACTTACGCACATACACATGCACAACACACTCAATCAACACACACACATTCACATGCGTTGGCAACACAACCCCGAACCCTACTCAGTGCGCTCGTGGCGTGGTCCTAGTGGTCCAGTGGGAGAAGAAAGGTGATTTTTGAGTCGACTAAAAGATCACCTTTTGAGTTGAGTAAAAAGTCAACCCTGAACCCTATTCACTGCGCCCGTGGCGTGGTCCTAGTGGGGGAAGAAAGCGGAGGAACATGGGAGGCTCATGCCATACCCCACTCTCTGCTGCATGCACAATACCCCACTCTCTGCTGCATGCACAATACCCCTACAACCTACAGCATGGACAAACAACCCGGCACCCTACTCACCGCACTCGTGGCGTGGTAGCAGTAGGGCGCAGGGTTGTTTGTACATGGAAGGCTCGCCGCACTCGTGGCGTGGTAGCAGTAGGGGAAGAGAGCGGTGCACATGGAAGGCTCGTACCCCTTCCACCACCACCCTCACCTTGCACACGGACAGTGCATGCTGCTCAAACCTTACACACAGCTGACTTCTGAGTCGACTCAGAAGTCACCTCGTACCCATCCACCACCCTCACCTTGCACACGGACAGTGCATGCTGCTCAAACCTTACACACAGCTGACTTTTGAGTCGACTCAGAAGTCACCTCGTACCCATCCACCACCCTCACCTTGCACACGGACAGTGCATGCTGCTCAAACCTTACACACAGCTGACTTTTGAGTCGACTCAGAAGTCACCTCGTAGTGGGGGAAGAGAGCGGTGAACATACATGCAGGGCTGGGCTCGTACCCCCCAGCCTTGTAGCGAATACTTGAGCGCACGACACACGCAAGCACACACGACACACGCACGCACACACATTTTAACATCCATGGAAACCCTGAGCCCTACTCACCGCGCTCATGGCGTGGTCCCAGTGGGGGAAGAGAGTGGGGAACATACATGGGGGGCTCACACCCCTCCAGCCTTGCAGAGAATGCTTGTGTGCATGACACATGCACGCACAGTCGCCCATGCACGGACAAACAACCAGAATCCCTACTCACCGCGCTGGCGGCGTGGTCCCAGTGGGGGAAGAGAGCGGTGAACATGGGGGGCTCGTACCCCTCCACCACCCTCACCACCGTGGTGTCTCTGGACCGCCCCTCCGCTGCTGCCACCTGCTCCAGGTAGCGCTGGTGTGAGCACACCAGGGGGGAAGAGGGGTGAGGGGGGGGATGGGCGAGGAAAGTGAGTGGTGAACATGGGGGGCTCATACTCCTCGACCACCCTCACCACCGTGATGTCCCTGGACTGCCCTTCTCCTGCTACCACCTGCTCCAGTTAGCGCTGGTGTGAGCACACCAGGGGGGAGGGGGGTGAGAGGGGGGGGCGGATGAGAGTGGGGAAACAGAGGTGAACATGGGGGGGCTCGTATCCCTCCACCAGTCTAACAACAGTAGTGTCCCGACTCTCAAGGGGCGGTCAAGGGACGCTCCGCCCCTTGAGTGACCGCCCCTTGAGTGAATGTGATGGGGAAGAGTGTGGTGAACGTGAGAGGGAGCTCGCACCCCTCCACTTTACCACCCGCACCACCGTGGTGTCTCTGGTCTGGACCGCCCCTCCGCAGCTGCCACTTGCTCCAGGTGGCGCTGAAAGATGGAGAATACAGAGGGGAGGAGAGGGCTACGTTACGGGCAGTTGGCTAGGGCGTAGGCCCGGCGGAAGGGGGTTCTACATTTGTGTGCCCAGCAGCAGCATCTGCAATCAAGTATGATAACACAATCGCTGATTGCTATGATTATTTATTGCTGCATCTGCAATCAAGTGTGATATCATACCACACAGCACAAATCATGGCATTATGGCCTCGCCAGCGGATAGGTGTTTACCTTTCTCCCGGCGGATAGGTGAGTGCCTCCTTTCTCTCCTTGTCCGGCGGATTTACCCGCATCCACACAAGCACCTCCGAATGTGCGCCCACCAGCAACACATCGTCGGATGGATGGAACCTGCTAAAATGAAAACACCCAGGGTCGAACCCTTACCCGCGCATAACTGAGTGCCTCTTTCTTCTCCTTGTCCGGTACGTTGACCCCCGCCCACACAAACACCTCCAAGTGGGCGTCCACCAGCACCGCGGCTCTCTATACCTACAGCTCTCTATTTTGAGTTGACTCAAAAATCACCTACAGCTCTGTACACGGCTCATGATTCATGCCTTACCAGCGCGTAGTCAAGAGCATCCTTCTTCTCCTTGTCCGGCGCGTTGACCCCCGCCCACACGAATACCTCTGTGTGTGCGTCCACCAGCATCACATCCTCGCTAATGAGGTCCTCCTGACTGTAGTTAGGTACCTCCAGCACCTGACAGGGATTCGGATGGACAAGTCAAGGAGCAGGATCCGATCCGAGGGAAGTTTTGAGGCACAGACTCCTATCGAGCAGGATCCGATCCGAGGGAATGGATACAAACAAACAAACAAACAAACAAACAAACTTCAATTCAAACCTAGAATGCATGGGAAAGGCCCCTGGCTGTTAATTATGTGTGGGAGGCATCCCTTGAAGCGCCTTGAAAACGATAGAAAGAAGCGCCTGCAAAGCCTAGTTACATCTCTTCGCTAATCAAGATGCCATCGGATTGCCCTTTGTAGTGCCATGTCATGCATCGTGTTCACCCTTGCACGACTGTCAGCATCTTTCATCATTGTATCACCTTGAACGCATTGGCATCCCTGTGACTTGGTACATTCGGCCATTCCTTGCTGCTTCCCTTGCCTCCCTCACCCCACAGTAGCACTCCCCCCTTCTGCTCAAAGCTGAGGCGCCTTAAAGCCCCTCTCTGGTGACTGGGTAGCGGTGAGGTCTCACCTTGAACGCATTGGCAGTCCCTGTGACTTGGTACATGCGGCCGTCCCTTGCTACTTCCTTCCCCTCCCTCGCTGCAGGGTACTCCCCTTTGCTGCCCACGTGCTGCCAAAACACCGACGTCTCCTTGCCCTCTGCCACCTGCTTCACCAACGCTCCAGGCTGCAGAAGCAGGGGAAGGGAGTGGCGGACGGGGGGGAGGGGTGTATGATCGTGTGCAGGGGAAGGTAGGGGAAGGTAGGGGAAGGTAGGGGACGGAAGGAAATGCAGGGAGCAGCGTTAGGGAGTTGTCAGCGCTCCAGGCTGCAGCGCCAGCAACGAGGGGAAGGGCGGAGGGGCAGAAGGGCGGTGTTGGTGTTGCTTAAAACCACCACTGCTGCCAACCAGGCAGCTATTACAACTTTGAAAAGAGGTGCGTCAAGACTGAAACTAAGTAGCAGAAGCAGCGGCGGCATCCTTGCCAGCCTCCCTGCTACTGTTGCCAGTACCTTGAGGAGTGACCACACCCAGTGCCTTGAGGAGTGACCACACCCAGTACCTTGATGATTTCAGCAGCAGCAGCAGCCGCATCCTTGTCAGCCGCACTGCTGCCATTGCCAAGCCACAGAAACGAGCTAGTGGGCGTCTGCAGCACAAAACAGTCCTCAGAGTTGAGCGACTTGGCCACCGGATCCATCTGAACCGCTTTGAACAGCCCCGCACCGCTCCCTCCAGTGGACGCCGCCCCCCGGGCGCGCACGCGGAACAGAGCCACGCCTGCCGGGTCGTACGTGTTGTCAGCGGCGGTGGCGTCCGCCTTGTAGCTCGCACTGTTGCCGCCCTGATGGGTTTGAAAGGGGTGCGTGGGGGGTAAGGGGATAGACAAGCAGTCCTCGGAGTTGAGGGACTTGGCCACCAGATCCATCTGATCTGCCTTGAATTGAACAGCCCCGCACCGGCCCCTCCAGTAGAGGCTGCCCCTCCAAAAGACATCTCCCCCGCAGTAAAATTCCCCCCCGGGCGCGCACGCGGAACAGAGCCACGCCTGCTGGGTCGTACGTGTCGTCGGCGGTGGCGTGCGCCTTGTAGCTCGCGCTGCTGCCGCCCTGAGGGGTGTGGGAGAGGTGTGCGGGTCGGGTAGCAAGGTACAGGGAATGTGAAGGGCTCGAGAGCCACGCCTGCTGGGTCATGCGTGTTGCCTGCACCACCTTGGGCGGTGACGTGCGCCTTGTGTCGAGCACTGCTGCCGCCCTGAGTGGTCTGAGAGGAACTTTAGGAGCAGGGGAGCGATTTTTGAGAGTTCTAAAAAAAACTCTCATTAGGAGCAGGGGAGCGTTGCAAGGTTAGGTGGCAGTGGCAAGAGCGGGGTAGAGAGCGAGGGTGGACGAGATGAGAATATTGGGCCTTGGGATATAGAAGGCGGACAAGACAAGCCATTGACCGTTATGCTGACTGGGGACTTACCTCAATGGCTTGTCTTGTCCGCCTCAATGAGGAAGCGTTTCTGCTTTTCAAAGAGTGCTTGTTTCTGCCTCAGGCATGTACAACTCAGCAGGCGACTGTTTCGGCATGGGGACTGTTTCTGCCTCGGGCATGGGGGCTGTTTCTGCCTCGGGCATGGGGGCTGTTTCTGCCTCAGAGGCCACTCAAATAGAGTCTGTCACGAGTGGATTCTGCTATGTTCACTGAAAGGTACCTTGAGGAAAAAGAGGTACCTTGAGGAAAAAGAGGTTGGTCTTGAACAGGGAAATGAGCTGCTCGGGTTCCTTCCCCTGCACTACTCGCACCTGGCACAGGGGCGGGCGGGGTGAAGACGAGGCACCAAGTGAGGGTGGGGTGGGTGGAGGGACGCTTTTGAGTCGACTCAGAAAAAGAGGTTGGTCCTCAACAGGGAAATGAGCTGCTCGGGTTCCTTCCCCTGCACTACTCGCACCTGGCATGGGGGCGGGCGGGGTGAAGACGAGGCACCAAGTGAGGGTGGGGTGGGTGGAGGGATGGGGGAACGAGGTGGAGAGTTATGGAAGCAAGGTACAGAAGAACGCAAGGAAAGTGAGGAGGAAAGTGAGAAAGGAGGAGGGGTGTGGGAAGAGGGGAGGAGGGGTGTGGGAAAGAGATGAGTAAGGTGGTAAACGAAGCAACAAGTGAGTGGCTAGCTTGGAACTTGGAGGTGCCACAAGATGGCGTCATACCAGAGTGGCGTTTCCCCTGAGGGCGTCTGCTGCCCGTGTGGCTGCAGCCAGTGCTGACGTCCTCTCCTCCTGGGTGCTGTCCCGGCCGACCCACAGAAAGACCACATATTCGTACTTGCGGTCGCGCGTGAACGTGTACTGTATGATGTAGCAGTCGCCGCTGTGGAACCGCCCCACCTCCTCTGCTGGCACAGCTGTCTTGTTACTGCCGTTCAGCCGCCACACCTGACGTGTTGGGAAGGGGGGTTAGGTTCGGAAGGGTTTCAGGTTGAGAGGAAGTCGATTACTCATACTTGCAGTTGCGCGTGAACGTGTGCTGTATGATGTAGCAGTCGCCGCTGTGGAACCGTCCCACCTCCTCTGCTGACAGGCACAGCTGTCTTGTTACTGCCACTCAGCCGCCACACTTGACGTGTTGAGAAGGGGGTTCAGGGAAGAGTTTCAGGTTGAGAGGAGGTCGATACACCTGTCGTGCTTGCGATCGCCAGTGAACGTATGCTGTATAATGCGGCATTCACCGCTGTGGAACCGTCCCGCCTCCTCTGCTGGTACAGCTGTCTTGTTCCTGCCATTCAGCCGCCACACCTGACGTGTTGGGAACAGGGGGGTTTCGTTTCGGATGGGAGGAAGATGGCGTACTCGTACTTGCGGTCACGGGTGAGCTGCAAGTACTGTACAATCATCTCCACTAGGCACAGGCAGAGGGACAGGCCGGAGATGGGCCGGCCAGTCCCAGCAGTCGGGCTCGGACCTCACGTTGGCCCCGGCCCGGCCCTAGTCGATGGGCGTCGCCCGGCCCATGGCCCGGCCTGTTCGCCAACGAGGTGACTTTTTAATCGACTCAAAAGTCACCTAGTCCATGGGCGTGGGCCGGCCCATGGCCCGGCCTGTTCGCCAACGCCCTTGATGAGGGGCCGGGACGGGCCAGAGCGGGCCAGGTGGCCCGTCGACGGGCCGCAAAAGTTCCAACCACGAGGTCGAATTTTCAACCCCCAAACTCATTTCGCCAAACCCCAAGCTGTTCCCCCCCCCCCTTCGCGTCACCCCGTGAATGCCTTCTCTCCTCACCTTCATCTCCCCGGCGAAATTTTTGAGGCGCCTCAAAAATAGACTCCTCACCCGTGAATGCCTTCTCTCCTCACCTTCATCTCCCCGGCGACATCCGCCAGGGGAGGTGGTGGTGCCTCGGCTGCTGCTGCTGCTCCTGACGACCCCCTTGCTACAGCCTTATCCACCATGCCTGATTGCCGCAGCATAGCTGGGGGAAGTGAGAGGGAAGGAGGGAGAGAACAGAAGGGGGGGAGGGGGGAGGAAAAAGAATGTCAGGTTATGAGGCACTCTACAACTACAACTGCTGCTGCTGCTGCTGCTGCTTCTGCTTCTGCTGCTGCTTCTGCTTCTGCTTCTGCTTCTGCTTCTGCTTCTGCTTCTGCTTCTGCTTCTGCTTCTGCTTCTGCTTCTGCTTCTGCTTCTGCTTCTGCTTCTGCTTCTGCTTCTGCTTCTGCTTCTGCTTCTGCTTCTGCTTCTGCTTCTGCTTCTGCTTCTGCTTCTGCTTCTGCTTCTGCTTCTGCTTCTGCTTCTGCTTCTGCTTCTGCTTCTGCTTCTGCTTCTGCTTCTGCTTCTGCTTCTGCTTCTGCTTCTGCTTCTGCTTCTGCTTCTGCTTCTGCTTCTGCTTCTGCTTCTGCTTCTGCTTCTGCTTCTGCTTCTGCTTCTGCTTCTGCTTCTGCTTCTGCTTCTGCTTCTGCTTCTGCTTCTGCTTCTGCTTCTGCTTCTGCTTCTGCTTCTGCTTCTGCTTCTGCTTCTGCTTCTGCTTCTGCTTCTGCTTCTGCTTCTGCTTCTGCTTCTGCTTCTGCTTCTGCTTCTGCTTCTGCTTCTGCTTCTGCTTCTGCTTCTGCTTCTGCTTCTGCTTCTGCTTCTGCTTCTGCTTCTGCTTCTGCTTCTGCTTCTGCTTCTGCTTCTGCTTCTGCTTCTGCTGCTGCTGCTGCTGCTGCTGCTGCTGCTGCTGCTGCTGCTGCTGCTGCTGCTGCTGCTGCTGCTGCTGCTGCTGCTGCTGCTGCTGCTGCTGCTGCTGCTGCTGCTGCTGCTGCTGCTGCTGCTGCTGCTGCTGCTGCTGCTGCTGCTGCTGCTGCTGCTGCTGCTGCTGCTGCTGCTGCTGCTGCTGCTGCTGCTGCTGCTGCTGCTGCTGCTGCTGCTGCTGCTGCTGCTGCTGCTGCTGCTGCTGCTGCTGCTGCTGCTGCTGCTGCTGCTGCTGCTGCTGCTGCTGCTGCTGCTGCTGCTTCTGCTTCTGTGCCTGCCTGTGCCGCCCTCCCTACGGCCCTGCCCACCATTCTAGAATCCTAGAAACCAGCTTCTGTGTGACATGACGCACCACAACACAGGCAACTGTAGTAAGAGAGAATCTGAGACACGTCCTCTCGAGCGGTCCATGTACTGAAGCCTGAGTACAGCTAGGCATGAGTGGAGAAACTTTTGAGTCGACTCAAAAGTCATCTCGTTACAATGTCACACGGGTCATTTCATTCAAGAAGAGCTATAATTGCGTGGAGGCTTCCGAAGCGAGTTGGAAATTTTTTAATTTCTGCTCATAAGAGTTAGACTACGGTAGCTTTTAGTTTGTGGTCCATGTACTGAAGCCTGAGTACAACTAGGCATGAGTGGAGAATCTGAGACCTGTTTGAGGCACGTCCACTCCCTCTCTTCTAACCTAACAGAGGCTTGCTCACCCCTCCCTCTCCCCCCACCCACCGCCCCTCTCAGGGGCAAGCAGCTACTCTGGTAAGGCAGCCTAAAACGCAGCAACCTCTAATCCCTTACATCCTACCCTCTCCTCACCTCATCCTCCTCCCCTTTTGCCTTTGAGCTTGCTCACCCCTCCCTCTCCTCCGCCCACCACAGGGGCAAGCAGCCACTCCGCAAAGGCAGCCTTGAAGGCAGCAGTCTCCCCACTCTCGTTCCCCTCCCTTCCCTCCTACCCTCAAGCCAGTCGTACCTTTGAGCTTGCTCGCCCCACCCTCCCCGCCGCCCATCACAGGGGCAAGCGGCCACTCCGCAAAGGCAGCCTTGAACGCAACGGTCTCGGCCCTCTCGCTCATTCGAGTGACTTGCACACAGGGGGGCTTGCTGGCTGACGACAGATACGCCTGGGGAGAGGGGGCAGGGGTGGAGAAGAGAGGGGAAAGAGTGGGCAGGCCAGAAGCAGGAGTAAGTGGGCCTTGAACGCAGCAGTCTCCCCTCTCTCGCTCATGCGGGTGACTTGCACAAAGGAGGGCTTGCTGGCGGACGATAGATACGCCTGGGGAAAGGGGGGCAGGGGGGAAGAAGAGGGAGGAAAGAGTGGGCAGGCCACAAGCAGGAGTAAGTGGGCCTTGAACTAGACATGATCAATACTTGAACGCAGCAGTCTCCCCTCTCTCGCTCATGCGGGTGACTGGCAGGCACTGACGGAGGTTGGCTGGCGGATGATAGATACGCCTGAGAAAGGTGCTGGGGACGGGAGGAAAAGAGAGGGCCTGGGGTGAAAAAGCGGTGTCCTGAAGCAAGTTTAAGGTAGAGAGTGCTTCAGAGTGCTTCAGAGTGAAACTTGCTGGATCCTGACTTGCTGCATCCTGACTTGCTGCATCCTGACTTGCTGCATCCTGACTTGCTGCATCCTGACATGCTGCACCATGTCAATGCCAAGTAGGTTTGAGCAAAACCCTAAAAAATAAAACCATGTCAATGCCAAGTAGGCTTGAGCAAAACCCTAAAAAATAAAACCATGTCAATGCCAAGCGCATCCACCAAACCCATTCCCATCTGCATTCCATCCAGCCCCATATGCAACTCCGCAGCCTGCACAGGACCCACAGAGTCAACCCTCACAGGAATCTTTTTGAGGCGCCTCAAAAAAACTTTCCAGCCTGCGCAGGACCCACAGAGTCAACCCCCACAGGAATCTCACCTCTGCAGCAACACAAGCAGCCCGTTTGTCAGGCACGGTGGCGATCTTCCCGAACCACACGAAGAGGCTCGGGCCCGTGTCAAGCAGGTAGCACTTGCCGCCCTCCAGCATGTTCTTCTTGAGTGGCGCCTTGGCTTGCTCCTGCAGCCCGCTGGCAGAGACTCTGGGAAGAAAGGGAACAAGGACAGAAAGGTCGTACGTCAAGTCAAGCACGTAGCACTTCCTGCCCTCCAGCATGCTTTTCTTAAGTGGTGCCTTGGCTTGCTCCTGCAGCCTGCCGGCAGTGACTCTGGGAGAAGGGAAAGCAGCGACAGGAAGGAAAGGCGCCTGCTTTTCAGCATCAAGTCAAGCAGGGAAGGATCCCTCTGGCACGTGGATGGATGCCTCCAGCATGCTCTTTCTCAGCGACGCCTCAGCCAAGTTGGCTTGCTCCTCCTCCTGCAGGCCGCTGGAAGTGACTCTGAGAGAAGGGAAAGCAACGACCGGAAAGCCCCCAAACACATGAACCACACACACACACTCGCACACACACACTCACACACACACACACACACACACTCACACACACACACACACACACACACTCACACACACACACCTGCTTCACCCTGTCACTCACAGGTGGAGCTAGGGCGGCACAGGCTTGGCCTCCACCACGTCGTCGTCGCTCGCGCTGTTCTTGGCGATGGGAGCAAATCCTCCACACACAACTAGCTACACACGCGCGCACACACACATGCGCTTTCCCCGAATCACTCACAGGTACAGGGTCGGTGGCACGGCCTTGGCCTCCACATCATCTTCGCTCGCCCCCTTCTTGGCGATGGGCGCAAAGCCGCCAAACAGGTCCCAGAACTCGCTGGAGCTCGCATCGTCCGCCTTGCCGTCGTCTGGATTACGGTGCGGGGGGGTGGGGGGGGGGGAATGGGGGAGAGGGGAGTGGGGGGAAAGAGGGGAGGAAGGGAGCTTGCATCACCTTCGCTTGCGCTCTTTCGGGCGATGGGCGAAAAGCCGCCAAACAGATCCCAGAAGTCAATCGAACTCGCATCGTCCGCCTTGCCATCGTCTGGTGTCAGGAGGGAGACGGGCGGGGGGAAGGGGGTGAGTGAGGGGGTGGGGGGGTGAGGGCGGGTGGGGTGTAAGGGGGGACAAGAAGGGGGCTCGCATTGTACCATCGTGTGGTGTGAGGAGCCGGGAGGGAGGAACGGGGAAAGGGGGAAGGGAGGAGAAGGACTGGCCGTACGCCTCATTAAGTCCTTCCCAGAACAGCTTTAACAGCTATAACTAGGTGGCAAGAAGGCGCCTATGGCAGCTGCTGCAGGTGCAGAGGCCCACCGATAGAAGCAGAGAGGCTTACCAATAACAGCAACGGGCATGCTGCCATTGGGAGACTGCTGCTTGAGCAGCAGGGTGGCGTCTGTGGCTCGAACGCGGTCCTGCTTGGAGCAGTTGGCTGCGTTGAACTGGAAGAGCTTGGTGGGCGCGTGCAGCACAAACACGTCCGAGTGGTTGAGGGAGGAACGGGCGAAGGGCACCTGGGAGGGGCAAAGAAGGGAGGCATGATGAACTGCTTAGTTCACTCAGAAGTTGGCTGCCGACTGCCTGAAACAGCAGTTGGCTGCGTTGAACTGGAAAAGCTTGGCGGGCGCGTGCAGCACAAACACGTTCGAGTGGTTGAGCGAGGAGCGCGCAAAGGGCACCTGGGATGGGCAGAAAGGGAAAGGGTGAACTGTTGAATTGACTCAGTCAAGAGCTTGGTGGACGCATGCAGTACGAATACGTCCAAGTCGTTGCGAGAGGTGCAAGCAAAGGGCACCTGCACGTGGAGAAAAGATTGCAGAGGGGACGCAGAGAAAAGATTGCAATTGATTTGAGTCATAGCTGGAGTAGCTTGCTGGCCTGCATTGACCTAATTCGTTGTGAAATAGGAATAAACAGCGGCGACTCGTCGTGCCCCTTCATCGACTTGCCCATATTTTTTAGGCGCCTAAACAATCCTAAAAAATCGTCTATTTTTTAGGTGCCTAAAAAATCCTCAAAAATCGTCTATTTTTTAGGCGCCTCAAAAATCCTCAAAAATCGTCTATTTTTGAGGCGCCTCAAAAATAGGCTCCTCACGTCGTGCCCCTTCATCGAGTTGCCACTGCCGATCATAAGCCCCTCCTCACCTCCCTTTTCCCCCTCCCCCCCCCTCCTTCCCCTCCCTCCTTCTCCCCGTCCCCCAATGCCAACCCTCGCCTCTCACCTGACTGATATGCAGGAAGCGCCGCCCCTTCACTTGGTACAAGCTGGTCTCAGCACTAGGCTAAGAGCATCCGCCTGGCCCGTTTCACCAGCAACCGGGATGACTGGGGGAGGGAAAAGCATCCCCACCGGGCGGAAGTAGGGTAGGAAAATCGGCGACTCGTGGCCCATCCCCACCTCCCTTCCCCTCCCCTCCCTCCCTTCCCCTCCCCTCCCTCCCTTCCCCTCCTGCCCTGATGCCAACCCTCCCCTCTCACCTGTCTGACGTGCAGGAAGCGCCGCCCCTTGACCTGGTACAGACTAGGTTCCCCAGTCCAAGCATCCGCCTGGCCCTTTTCCCCCACGCGGGGGATGATGCACGGGCGGAAGTAGGAGAGGAACAGCGGCGACTCGTGGCCCATCCCCACCTCCCTTCCCCTCCCCTCCCTCCCTTCCCCTCCCCTCCCTCCCTTCCCCTCCCCTCCCTCCCTTCCCCACCTGCGCTAATGCTAACCCTGCCCCATCCCCGCCTCCCTTCCTCTCCCGCCCTGATGCCAACCCTCCCCTCTCACCTGTCTGACGTGCAGGAAGCGCCGCCCCTTGACCTGGTACAGACTAGGCTCGGCCGAAGCAGGGTCCGCCTGGCCCTTTTCCCCCGCCACGGGGATGATGCACGGGCGGAAGTAGGAGAGGAACAGCGGCGACTCGTGCCCCTGCCGCTCCCGGTGCTGCGTTGACTTGCCGCCCACGGCAATATCTAGGTCCAGCGCCTTCAGCGCCGCCCGGGCTGCGTCCTCCGGGGTGGTTCCCTTGCCCAGCCAGTAGTGCACAGCGTGGGCGACGCCGCCTGCTGCCTTGCTGCCTGACGTCTGGGGGTGGGAGGAGGAAGGAGGAGGATGGGGAAAGAGAGACACGAGAGGCCGCGGCAATATCTAGGTCCAGCGCCTTCAGTGCCGCTCGGGAGGTGTCATCTGGGGTGGTTCCCATCCCCAGCCAGTAGTGCTCGGCGTGGGTGACGCCGCCTGCTGCCTTGCTGCCTGAGGTCTGGGGGTGGGGGGGAGGGCGGAGGATGGGGAAAGAGAGAGCCATGAGACCGCGGAAAAATCTAGGTTCAGCGCCTTCACTGCTGCGCAGGCCGCGTCCTCGGGGGTGGTTCAATGGCGAGCCAGTAGTGCACGGCGTGGGTGACGCCGCCTGATACCTCGCTGCCTTAGGTCTGGGGGTGGGGGGAGGAAGGAGGAGGATGGGGAAAGAGATAGACATGAGAGGCCGCGGCAATCTCTAGGTCCAGCGCCTTCAGTGCCGCCCAGGCCGTGTCCTCCGGGGTGGTTCCCTTCCCCAGCCAGTAGTGCACTGCGTGGGTGACATGACACCACCCGCTGCCTTGCTGCCTGACGTCTGGGGGTGGGAGGAAGAAGGAGGAGGATGGGGAAAGAGATAAGAAATGAAACCGCGGCAATGTCTAGGTCCAGCGCCTTCAGCGCCACACGGGCCGCGTCCTCCAGGGTGGTTCCCTTGCCCGGCCAGTTTGCACTGCGTGGGTGACGCCACGTCACGCCTTACTGCATGACGTCTGGGGGTGGGCAGGCAGGCGTTGAGAGAAGGGAAAGACGGAGGGTATGAGAGAGACATAGAGCTGGAAATCAAAGCCTGATAACGCACCGTGAGTACAATGTAGATGCCTCGATTCTAGAACGGCCATGGTCGGCTTTGGAAACAGGGAGGGACCACTTAGCCCTAGACGCCTTCTAACGAATCTAGAGCAGATTGTACGAGCCGTGTAACGCACCTTGAGCACAATGTAGATGTCACGGGTGTAGAAGTTGCCGTGCTCGGCCTTGGTAACAGGGTCTACTTAGCCTTAGACATCTTGTAACGAATCTATGACAAAAGTATGGAAAATATTTTCGCACCTTGAGCACAATGTAGATGTCTCGGGTGTAGAATTTGCCATGGTCGGCCTTGGGAACAGGGACCACTCCGTCCTGCTCCAATCGCCACACCTCCAACCCCCTGAAAGCACGGAACAGCCACGTCAGCACGTCAGAACGATCCGGAGGGGTTGTACCATTCGTAGCAGGCATGCAAGATATGGCAGTCGCAGGGCGACGATTGACCTTTACCGGCCGATTGCCAATGGAAGCACCAGTCGGAGCGCCGGTCGCAGTGATCATGTTAGGCAGACTAGTGTCAATGTCCGCGTTCTAAGGCGATGATAGCGTCTTAACACAGGAAGCATGCCAGCATTGGTTTATACTAATCAAACAGCCACTACATTGCGAGCTTCTGGAAATTAGCCAGACAAACCGAGTTACTGAGAAAATCTGTTACATCAGAAATTGCCTGATGGCGATTTCAGCGCGGCTACGCGCCACAAGAGAGTTGTTATTATTGAGTCGACTCAAAAATCACCTTTAAATGACCTGGAAAAGTAAGCACTAAGCACGCGAAAATAAGCGCTACGATTCCAGCACTTGGGTAAGTGGCGGTATGGACGGGAGGAACGGACAATTAAAGGATGTTCATATTAGAGTAACTGGGGAAGAGAGCCAGGGAGTCCAGCAGAGCGAGGCTTACGGTTTATGGCTGAGCCCGTGAAATGCGGGGTCCACATCTTTGGCCGTCATGGCCACGCGTCCAACCACTGGCAGTAACGGAGCGGCTTATGCCGAAGTACCAAGTAGGTGAGCTGGCAACAGCTCTAGGGCTTTCGACCCGAACCTAGGGTTCACTTCAAGATAACCGAGTTTCAGGAACTTCAGGGTTTGCGCCGAGCACGGGGAACCTAAAGGGTGGACAGTAACTAAACGTCAGGCTGAAACAGGCTGAAATACAACACCTAACCAGCCTGAAGTAAACACCTAATCAGCCTCAACTAAATGCCCAGTGACCAGCCTTGAGACTGCCGCCAACTGAAGCTGGTCGGATTGTCTTGCTCTCTACCTTGCAAGACAGGTCACTGTCGTGCTGGGAGGGGTGCTAGTCAACTTAAGGCATGTTTAAATTTGCGTGAAATACTGGCCTATGAAGTTTGTACCGACTCTCTGTTCCGCTCAACAATATCTTGTTCCCTTTTTTTCGTCCCAGCCAAGCGAGAGTACATGTCGAATTGTGGGTCTGTGAGCAAGCTTCAATTTTACTTGATCCAGGTTCCCGCCAGGTTCGGACCCGACTATAACGGGAACCGATTTTGCAATTACGACCTTGTCGCTAATGGGGGGCGAGTTCATGAGCTCGGATGGCTGCTTCTTGGGGCGCTCTGCGAAGCAAAACATGCCACGAAAGCCTCGATTCACGAACGTGGCTCCAGAAGAGAGCGGAATGACGGTACAGCACTTTTAAAACATACAGGCACCAATATGTAATCACTAGCTCTACAACAAAGTGTAACACAACTGCCTTTCTAAAATGTATGCTCCTACTCGGCCCTTGTTGCACCCATCCCTGTTTACAGAACTGGCAGTAAGTGTTTCTGAAAGCAACGCCAGTCATACTCCACTTGGCGAGAGTAACTCAAAGCCACCTCCCAGACAAGTTCCTCAAACTCATTCTTTGCCGCTGCCTTCGATAACAGCACGAGCTCTTGGCACAACGCTGGCCGTTGATCCACAGCGGGGTCGGGATCTAGCAGGCTAGCAGCGGCGGCATGCTGCGCTGCGAGAATACGTGCCCAGTCCTCTGCCAACTCCACTAATCCATCCTGTGTGCGTGGAGAAGGAAGCAGGGGGGTCAAAGAGATGAACAACGCACAAAAGAACTCAAGCGTGCAGCTATGCCAATACAGGGATCAACGAATTAGCCGCTACAACGTGTAATTGTAACCAGCAAGGTGACGGTCACCTGGTTGACAGTGTTCACCTGAGTGGTGAGTGCGAATCCTTTGAGCTTTGATTTGACGTCCGCTGACACAGCTGCCGGGTACTCATCCTCATACGGCGACACGTCTCGAACGGAATACCGGCCCGTGGCACTCGGGTGCACGCCCTCCTGCTCACCCCACCCAAAGGGAGGCACAACGCAGCCCGAAAGGGGGAAAAGGCGTTACTTGAAGTACGGCCCCTCCTCCGGACAATCTCAACTGGCAGCTTCTTCAGCAGCAGGCCACGTCACGTCCCTGTCCATCTCACTTCCACACACCCAGTCCCTTTTTTCACCTGCAGCGCCACCCACCCAATGCTGTTAACGTGCGAAGAACAGAGGGCCGCCCATCCCACTTCCACACACCCACACTCTTTTCACCTGCAGCTCGATCCACCCAATGCTGCCATCGTCCGAGGAGCAGAGGGCAGCGCTGGCCTCCAGGAAGCGGTCGGTCTCGTGGGGGAAGCGGTGGCGGTAGGCACGCCGCTCGTCTGGGTTCATGAAGTGGTAAGCCGTGGGGCGCTGCTGCATGCGCACGTCCAGCACGTGCAGCTCCCCGCTGCTCGTCTCGGTCTGGAGGTTGAAGGGTGAGCAGATATGCCCAGGGGGGAAATGAAACGAGGTTTCAGGGGAGAAGATAGGCGCGGCGCTCGTCTGGGTTCATGATGTGGTAAGCCATGGGGCGCTGCTGCATGCGCACGTCCAGCACGTGTAGCTCCCCACGGCTCGTCTCGGTCTGGTGGAGCGGGAAACAGGTACGAACAGGAAGTAGTTCAGACTCAAATTAGGCCGTGATGTGCTGCTGCATGCGCACGTCCACCACATGCAACTCCCCGCTGAAGGGTTAGGAGGTGGGATGAGATGCAAAGGGGTGGTATGAGATGCAGGAGTAAGGGGGGATAGTGTTCTCCGCACTTGTCTGGATTCATGAAGTGGTAGGCCGCGGGGCACTGCTGCATGCAGAGATCCCGGACACTCGGTTTCCCACTGATTGTCTCAGTCTGGGGTCAAAGGGTGGGGAGGTGTGCACAGAGGGTACAAGAAGCAGCAGACTGGGGGTTGCTGCGTCATGCAAACACGTGGCAGTGAATACGTTTCTCGATACGTACCCGGCCATGTTGCACGCAAAGCAATTGTTACCTACCAGCGCTATGTATCTGGGCACGCCGCATCAGGCGGGGCCGGCATAGAGCCTGCGAGTGAGCCCCTTGACGTTGACCCCGTCGGCATACGGCTCAGCCATGATGAGGTAAATAGTTGAGTACGAGACCAGAGATACGCACCAGCGCCATGTATCTGGCCACGCCGCATGAGGCGGGGTCGGCGTAGAGCCTGCGAGTGAGCCCCTTGACGTTGACCCCGTCTGCATACGACGCCAGCGCGCTGATCACTGCATCCTCCTCGAACTTGGGGCACGGTTGCAGCTTCTCAGGCTGCTCCTGGAACGCCCACTTCCCGCCCTCCTCCACACACCTGATAATGAAAAAATAGGGGGCAGAGGGTGGGATGGGATGCACGGTGAGAGCACGGTTAGATGGGTGGGATGGGATGCATGGTGAGATGGAGTGCAGAAGAAAGTTGTCTGCTCCTCATATTTCCACTCTCCAACCTTCTCCACATGCACCTACGGTTGAACACAGTCGGTTTGGAAAAAAGAGACGAGGAAACCAAGGAAGAAAGCAGTTAAAAGTGCTTCCATTTCTAAACATATCGCAGGGTGCACTCAGCCTCTGGAGCAGCTCCTAATAATCCCACTTCCCACCCTCCTCCACACCAGTTGCTCAGAAAATCAGCTCTTTCACTTAGCGCTCGGATGATTTTTGAGTCGACTCAAAAGATTTTTGAGTCGACTCAAAAGATTTTTGAGTCGACTCAAAAGATTTTTGAGTCGACTCAAAAATCACACCAGTCGCTCAGAAAATCAGCACTTTCACATAACGCTCGGAACCAGGGTCACACAATGGCGGCGGCTGTATTCTCCCTCCACAACCGCCAGGAACCGCACCATGAAAAAAAAAACCCTCGCAACACGAACACGCTTCCGGCCAGCGCCAGAAATGTAACACGCCTCCGGAAAATCTGCGCCAGGCTTCACCCACCATTTTTTCAACAGCCGACTTTAGTTTTGAGGCGCCTCAAAACTCGCCTCCGGAAAATCTGCGCCAGGCTTCACCCACCATTTCCTCCACAGCCGACGGCCGCTGCTTTCGCTCTTTACGATCTCCAGAAACGGCACAAGCTATCCCTGTGTTTTCAGCAGCTATCTCTTGATCCTGTAACTCACCACTTCTTGAGCAACCCGCGGTGGCTGCATTTTCTCTCCACGATCGCCGGACATGGCACCGGCCCTCCTACATCCAGCAGCTATCCCCGTTATACCACAACTCACCACATCTTTAGCGGCCGGCGGCGGCTGTAATTTCTCTCCACGATCGCCAGGAACCGCACGAGCTCCGAGGCACCCACCACACATCCCCCTTTATCAAACAACTCACCACTTCTTCAGCAGCCGGTGGCGGCTGTATTCTCTCTCCACGATCGCCAGGAACCGCACCAGCCGCCCCTTCATGTTCCCCCCGGACGTCATCAGCACCTGCGACAGCTTCAGCGCGTTTCCGCCCTCCGTATAGCATCACTCACCACTCCTTCAAAGCTGCGTGATAGGAGTCTAGTTTTGCGTGATAGGCGCCTTAAAAATCGTTTCCGCCCTCCGTATAGCATCACTCACCACTTCTTCAAAGCTGACGACGGCTGTATTCCCTCTCCACAATCGCCAGGAACGCACCAGCCGTCCCCGATATTGCAACACCTATCCCCTTAATCCTATCACTCACCATTTCTTGAGCAGCCGGCGGCGGCTGTATTCTCTCTCCACAATCGCCAGGAACCGCACCAGCCGCCCTTTCATGTTTCCCCCGGACATCATCAGCACCTGCGACAGCTTCAGCGCGTTTCCGCCCTCCGCCCCGCCGTCCGCGCCCCCGCCCCCCTTGCCCCCCCCCTGCTTGAACCCCATCACCGTCTTCAGGTACTTCCGCGCAAACGCCAGCACCGCCGCGCGCAAAACCGCCTCTTCCGCCGCTCCCCCGCTTCCCCCTCCCCCTCCCCCTCCCCCTCCCCCTCCCGCTGCCCCGCCGGCGGCGGAAGCTGCCCCAGAGCCCGCTGCCGCGAGATTTTCCCGCGCTAGAAGGACGATACTGGTGGCGAGGCGCCAGACGTCGTATTGATAGTCTGCGATTACGGACTCGTCCGTGAGCGACAGGCCGTACATGGGGCCGTCGCTGTCGCTGCCCGACGCCGTGAACGACGACGTGGAGCAGTCGCCGACGATCCACGTCACCGTGCGACTGTTGCCGAAACGAGTCAGGCGCTCGTCGCCGCTGTGCGTCGCAGAGGGAGGGTAGGCGTGGACAGTGCGTGAGGCGCGGTGAGAAAGGAATGTGCAGGTGAGAATTTGATGTGAGAAATGTGACTTCTGCGTGGAGTGGAAAGATGAGGAAAGATGCACAGCCACGGGGTTTGAGTGGAAACAGCGCACAGGCTGGTCGCCGCGTGTGCGTGATGACTTTTGAGTCGACTCAAAAGTCATCAAGATGAAGAAAGATGCACATCCACGGGGCTTGACCGGAAACAGCGCACAGGCTGGTCGCCGCGTGTGCGTGAGTAGGTTGGAACGCACCCAGAACCGGAGCCGGGGGAACGGGGGAAACACTGGCTCTTGAAAAAATATTTCCAGTGAGAGGGAAGTTAAGATCGACCTAGAGCGCGCGGGCAACTGAACTCGACCGGGTGAACATGTGACCAGGTAATAGCGGAAGTAGAATCAAGTCACAACTTCGCGACAGAAACGACTAAAAACGAGCTTTCTCACCTTAGGTCAGCCCAGAAGAGGTGATTGGTTCCTTGGAAGAAGGACACCGGCGATCGGCCAATCATGGCGTATTTATGAGCCAAGGCGGATCCGGGGAGGCCCTTGTTCCACTCCTCGATGGACGCGACGACGTGCATCTCGCGATCCGACATGGCCGGCCTCGCCATGCCGTTCTCCTGA